ATTCAACAAAAAAAATCAATAAAAACACAATTATTTTGGGCAGAGGAATATCTAATTTCATAATTCATTTTACACATTTTCTTTCCTGTCTATGAAAAGGGTTTTCTCGCCAAAGATGATAGAGTGGGAAACAACGACCCACACGCATTGAGAAGCGAGTGAGAAGAACGCGGCATGGGAGAGTGTGACAAAGACAGAAGGGGTTGTTAGGTGTAGCTGCAAGACGTGGAAAAAGAAGTGTTAAATGCCAAAAGAGTGGGGCCTGTCTTCTAGATCCCAGCATGATTGTGTGTTTTTTGACACTGCATTGAGACTTCATACGCATCACTCTCACTGAATCATTGCCTCCCATTCTTTTCCCTTCTTGCATGGCTTCCCTGCTGCAAGTCTTCGTAAATTTGGGTTTTGCTATGTGCCCTCCCACCTTGCATTTAGAGGGTGACCAACGGATTGGATTGAAGTGGAGGATTCAATTTAATTATTTTGATTAATGTATAATATCATAAATTTTAATTGATCCCTTTAGGAAATTAAATTGATTTGGTTTAGTTTATTAGTTTTTTTTAAATTAATTATTTTTTATTATTTTCATATTATTTTAAATATATTTAAACGAATTTAGATATAAAATTATCATTTTTATTCTATAAAAATTTAAAATAATCTACAAAAATTAATAAAATATATAATTTGATTTGATTAAGAGATTTTTTATTTTTTCACTTTTCAATCCAAAAATCAAACCGAATTAAAACATATAATATCTAAACTTAAATTAAATCGAATATAAAAATTTGATCTGAACACTTATGATTTTAAATTAATTTTTATTTTTATCAAAAATTTTTCTACCCTTACTTGCATTTCAAAAGCTTCTCAATTTTTTTTCGTTATCTCTTGTTTTTCATGCTTGATATTCTTCTAAATATCTTTTAGTGTTACTTAATTTTCATATTCGTAATTTTTTTATAAAAAAAATCATAGTTTAGAAATAAAAGAAGAGATTTTAAGTATTGAAATTTAAATTTTAAAATTATTAGATCAATTTTTTAAAAAATAATTATATAAATCAATTGAATTAAATCTCAAAATTTACTTAAACATAAATTTTACTTTTACGTACATAATAATTAATATTTGTGTTCAACTCATTAAAATAGGACATTGAAATATAGTTATCCTATTTTCTAATTTATTAAACTCCATTTACTAAATAATTCATGCTTAGCCTAACCATTATTATTGCATGCAATGCACATATTAATTTCTATACGGATAGTACATTGAATTTAAATTGATTAGATAAATAATCCAAACCAAACCATATGAATTTATTTTCACTTTAAGTTTTCAATGAGATTCCAACGGTTAGAATTTGAGAATTTTTTGCTCTTGTAAAAGCATTAAAGGATAAAAGAGGGTCTTTCTTCTTATATTTTTGTTCTCTTAGTTCTTGGCAGAAATTTCAAATTCCTACGTGCTTTTGAAGAAATTAGATACATATATATGTTTCAATTAATTTGCTTATAAATAGACTATTAATCGGGTATAAAATTATAGTATTAACTAGGGATATTGAAAAGTCTAAGCTTTCATATAACACTAGCATATTAGGTATGCGCCTAATTAGGTTAAGGCTCAGTTTAATTTGAAATCTCAAGACTCAAATTTTAATTTGAGTTTGAACAAATTTTATTTTTTATATTCAACTCGACTTATAATTTAATTGATCACTTAAATTAATTCGATAAGTTTGATTAAGTTTGATAAAATTAAACATTATATTTTGCTTAAGGTTAAGCTTCCCCCACTTACAAAGACCAAATAAATGAAAAAAATTTCTACGATTAAGCCTCTTCTCGACTTATGTCATAAATAGTAATAAAGTTGTAATTAAGACTTAAGTTTTATGTTGTAACCATCTAACTTTTGCTGTCAAAAGCAAACAATAAGTTGCAATAATAATAAGTTAAGCTTAAATAACATTACAGAGAAAAACTTCATAAACGCTTTTAGGGTAAATACTTAAAACCTTTATAAGGTTGGGGTAATTCTTTTTTACCTTTTACAGTTTGAAAAACACATTTTTACTTTTAGTTAGTGCTTAGTATGGGGTTATCATCTAAAAAATTATGATGATCTATACTTAGTAATTATATTGTTGTATTTGGCAAGTATTTGATGATCCTACATAACAATGATTTTATATCATTACCATGGAAAGTGATTTAATTTTCATCCAAAATGGTGAAAAAGTTTTATCTACGATATTAAGTGATATGTAAAATTAATAATAATTAATATTGCTCATATAATATGTGAATTTTAAACTTGCTTCCTTTCAAATTTTAATTATTTTTTATTACATTATAAAATTTTATCTTTTCAAATTAATAGTCATTGTAATAAGTTCAAAAATAATGTGTGCCTTTTATATTTTTTTAATGTTTTATATTTTTTTTTGTTTTTATTATGATTTTCATAAATTATTTTTATTTTTTAATTCAATTTTTTTTTTACAAAATTTGTATTATGAAAATTAATTTACTTATTAAGAAATATATTTGTTAATTTAATAATTTAACTTTTTTTTATAAAATAAATAAAATACTACTAATATTTTACAAATTATTATCTTTACATAACATTAAAATCAATAATTTTTGTAATTATTATAATATGCATGGTTAAGTTGTTACTTTCAACCAAAATGATATTTGGTTTTAGTAACATCAAATATAGTGATATGTAATTCCTAAGAATTGATATTGTCTACCAAATAAAGTGATTTATACCCACTTTCTACTTTATACACCCCACTTTTAAAAAATCCCAAATTTGAAACTCAATTTTTTATTTTTATTAAACACACCCCTCCCCTTTACTTTCTATTTTCAATTCCTATCATTTCTTTTTTTTTTCTCTCTCTTCACTTTCTAAAATCGAGCTTTTAAAAAATAAATATCTGAAAAGCTTTAGACTTCTCAAAAATAGATATCCGAAAAGCTTTAAAGATTCTCAGATATTCATTTTCAATAAGCCTAAAAAATTTTAAAGTATTTATTTTTGAAAAAACTCAAAACTTCTCATATATATATGTTTGAAAAGCCTTGAGTCTTCTTGGAAATGAATATCTGAGAAGTTTTGAGTGTTCTCAAATATTTATTTTCAAGAAGCTTGATTTCACTTTTAATTACTGAAAACTTTAATCATGCGCTTATAAACCCATTTACTTAATTATGTATGCGAATGAAACTGAAATTGATGTTCTTAACATATATGACATAAACTTGTTCTTTTTCTTGAGCCTCCAAAAAATCAAAAACATCGTTTTCTGGTTTTCTGATTTTACATAAACAAAAAGGTACTCTTGATTTTCTGATCTTAAGACAAAAATACCTTTATGTCCATGCATACTTAAGAATTAACATGCTTCTAGCATTTGCGCATATGATCAAGTAAGAATGGGCACATCGATAACTCATATGTGTGCATGCATACTAATCCAAGCTCAAACGCCCTATAGAACATTGACCCTGACAATGTCATTAGTAGATTGATAAATCTGATAATAAGGACTTTTAATTTTTTGGCTACCAAGACACTGGTGGGCTAAAGATTAAAAATTCCTATTGTCGGAATTAAGCCATACCTTAGAGAAATTATTAAAGACGTTTGGAGATCCTAACACATCAAATTCATTTATTTTAGTATTATTTATTTTAAGATTAAATGTATTTATTTTTATTTAAATTAAAATTAAACGTTATCAAAATTTTATAATTAAATATATATTTAAACAAAAATTTATGCATTTTCAAAAATGAATTTTTGAGCATGCAATATAATTCTTAGAAATCGATTTTTGAGAATTATATTGCATTCTCGAATATTCATTTCTGAGAAGTAATCTCAGAAATCTATTTTCAAGATTTACGAGGTGGTTTTAGGATGTATAAGCCATTGAAGGTATTTTTGTCATTTATTAAAAGTTAAATTTGGTATTTGCTATGTGGATATTTTTGGAAGAAAATTTTAGGGGTACTTAGAGAAATTTTTGTGGTGTATTTAAAAGGCCTCTTATTTTGCAATGAAAAATATATTTTTTCTTTTTATCTTAGTTTATATATCTCATATATTTTTATTGTCAAAAGGGTTAAAAAATTTTCATAAACTAAAATTTAATAATCATTTAGGCTTTTATTATTATTTTTCAATCAATTAAATCTTGAAACATTTATTTTTATCAATTGAACTCTTATTAGAAAAAAAAAGGTTAACTATTTTCGTCTAATTGAAAACTTAAATGAGTAAAAATAAATATACAAAGATTCAATTTGATAAAAATAAATATTTAAAAATTTAATTGCTTCGAAATAAAAAAGTTAGACTTGATTACTTATAATAAATATTAAATTTTTATTTGAGAGCTTTTTTAATCCTTATGCTATTTTTTTTTCATCCTTGTCATAGACCAAATCATCAAATTTGATTGAGATATTTTTACATAATTATACTAAAAATTAATTTTAAGATATAATTGAAGAGTTTTTAGGTATTGAAGGATAATGTTCATGCTTTAATTATTTAAAAAAAAAAAGAATAATTAATAATTCCAAAGTCCAAGTTTTGGGAAATATGAAAGGAAGGATTGGACATAGCCATTTTCAATGCTCAATAGACAAAGGTTGGAATTCGGAAGCATAGAGAGTAGTTTTAAGGGGACAAAAAAAAAAAGAAAACCTTTTTGTGCTCTCTCAAAATAGCAGCCACAAAAACTCTCTTCTTCCATGGAGTATGGGACATCAACATATCATTTTCACTGAGTTTCTTGTGTTGTGTCTGCCTCTCTCTCTCTCTCTCTCTCTCTCTCTCTCACACACACACACACACACACACACACACACCCCATTTCATTATACCATTACTTCACTCTATACTGGTAAAGTACACCTCTCTCTCTCTCTCTCTCTCTCTCTCTCTCTCTCTCTTTTATTTCTTTCTCTCTCTCATAATCATTGAGCAACTTTTATTTAAGTTTATATATATTTAATATATTTTGTGAACTCAGTGAAGAGCTTTTGCTTCTTCAAGTGTCTGGCTGTTTACTGTTGTTTTGCAGTTATTTTCATTCTGTCATTCTTTGTTTGTACTCTTGCATTTAGCCTTATTTCTTTTGTTCCTGAGCTTTTACCTGATTGAATACAAGGTGGGTTGTCAAGTAATTGTTGGAGCTCTTTATTCTTTTGAGATTTTGACTTTCTCTAATGGGTTTTCTTTTCTTTTGCTTTTTGCTCTCTTTTTTCAAGTGCATTTGGCAATCAAGAGACTTGAACTTTCCATAAATTTGGTGCTTCAAATAAGAGAATTTTTGTTGGGTTTCTTTGCTTGTTCAAGTGGACTTCCTGGTTAATGTTTCAGTAGCCATAAAGATTTGCTTTTGAGACTCTGCTGAGATTTTGGAGATCAACATGTTATATTGAAACGTTATGAAAGATGGCTTCTTTTTTTTTATGTGTTTTTTCTTGAGTTGAACTTGGTTTAATTTGTACTTGGGTGGTTCTTGCATGTAATGGAGTCCTGGAGTTTTGTTTCAGGGGAAAAGGAGTCTGTATATGATGCAGCAATTTCACCTTCTGATTCTTATGCAAGAAATAGAAATGCCTTTATCAACTGGGAGTTAAAAGGTCCATATAGTTTTAATAACAACATGCTAGTTTCAGGACAACAAGCTATTAAGAATCATGCTTTAGGGGAACTGGGGTATGGAGAATTGATAGGAAAACAGTTACCTAATGATTCAATTGGAGATGTTTTAAGTAGCAAAATTAGTGGGGGAAGAGCTCTAAATCCAATAATGGCTACCCTGAATGCCTTTTCTGGGGATGATGAGTCTACTTTGAAGCTTTCAAGCTCTGTTGTGGACTCTAAAAGTTGGGATTCTTCACTTATAGATTTAAAGCTAGGAAGATTTCATGATCATAGAGATGGCCAAAATTCTAGTTTTGCTATAGGAGCCCCCGTTTTATCTTCATCTGAGTCATCTACACCACCAAAGAGAGTTCGAGCAGCAAGAGAAAATTCTCATACTGCCTATTGCCAAGTTTATGGTTGTAACAAGGATCTCACTTCCTCAAAAGACTACCACAAGAGGCACAAAGTTTGTGAGGTTCACTCAAAAACTGCAAAAGTTATTGTTAATGGAATTGAACAACGGTTTTGTCAACAATGCAGCAGGTTAGTTTTGCTTATAGAAGTCCTTTTTGCTCCTTTAATTAGCTGGACATAGCATAGAAAATAAAAAAAAAAAAAGAAAAAAAATACTCTTCTTGTTAATTTAAAAAATATAGTAATATTCACAGTTTTTTTAATCCCTTTTCTTGTCATCTCATCAGTAAAGCAGGGTGTTAGGGACCTTGGAATTGTTCCAATTGCATATCTTGTACTATCTTGTATATAGTTAATTAAAATTGGAATTTTTTCCAGGTTTTGCTTTTCATGCTACCAGCCTTTTATTTATTTATTTATTTATTTTTTGGGGGGGGGGGGGGGGGTTGTATAGTGGACCCTTTCTCTTTCTATGCCCTAATCTCCTGGGATGGATTGCAGGCGTAAACTCTTTACATTGTTGCTTCATTTTATTTATCAGCAGATTGTATAGGCCTATTTTTTCTTTATTTAAACTTTTTTCTTTATTTAAACTCTTTTAAAAAAAAAAATACAAGTATTCTGGTTGTTCCAATGAATTTCTCTGCTCCAGATGTATTTCAGGAAATATATAAAACCTATAGTTTTGAAAGATTGCTTGATTTGGAATCTAAAGAAATGTTGTTGAAGGTCAACTTTGTTACCATAGACCTTGGCTCAATTACCATGCTTGGGCCTCATTCCTGCTATAATATGTCCTAGCTTGTGACCATGCAGGTTTCATTTGCTGGCTGAATTTGATGATGGCAAGCGCAGCTGTCGTAAACGCCTCGCTGGCCACAATGAGCGGCGGAGAAAACCTCAAGTTGGTATTCACTCGGGGAGTGCTGGAAGGTTACTTCTGCAATATAATGGTACTAGACCCACATCATACCTGATTTCAGTCATTCACATAATCTGTGTGTGCACAAAATTTACATCTGGACAGTAGTATCGGAATTCAGAAGGCGTTTATGAGCCTTCACTGCTTTATTCCAGCATTATGAGTAAGTTATGTTCATTGTGGGTGTATGCTTAACACATCTATGAGGAGCTTCCACTCAAGATTTCTCAATACAAGGTTTTTAATCCATTGCCGTAATATCTTGAGATGTTGGCTCCCTAGTAATTTGAGAGACGTATGCTCAATATCTGAGTTCTTTCTCATCGAATAATTAAGGACATTTCATGCATTTTCACAAATTTATTCCCACTTTGAACTAGGAGTATGGAGCAGAATTGCTTGGAACCAAATAGTAAGGAGTTTGAGCAAGCTCAACACAAAAATTTGAAATTCTTATCTGTTTCGAGTCTGAAATGTGCTAATCACCTGAGACTCAAGATCACTTCAAAAAGATTTCTAAAGCTTGAGTTCAGCTCAGTTCATCATGCAATGCATATCCATTTGCGTGTTTGGTATTTTTATATTTTCTCACTGTTCTGAATTATGCCATAAGATTCTTGAGGATTTTGATGTCCTGAGTATTTGAGCTTTTTTTTTTTCTTTTAATCTAATATATTATGATTTTCTGTGATGCTAAGAATATGAAATTATTTGTAAAGGATCCCTTTGTCCCTATTTTTGCATTTTTATTGGTATCTAATTTTATATTTTATAAATGCTCGCAACATTATGCAGGCTTTGCTGGTGGCAGATTTCATGGACCGATGTTGGCAACTACATCCTTTATTTGCCAAGATATACTACCTAGTGGCCTTTTGCATGTTGAGAAGTATGTAACAAATGAATGGGGCAAAAGGATAAAAGTTGAAGATGGGACTAATTATAGCTCTCTTTCTGCCATTCCCACCACGAATGGGCATTTTCATTTAAAAGCCCCCTACCCTCCTAGTGGTATTGAGAATCTGCTTCCCTCTTTTCATGATAATGGAGCTAATACAGCCACTGGTGGCATTTTGGGTGAGAACAATGCACGATATGCTCATGATTTTGGTGGAAGAAATTCTGGATCACGCCCTTTATTCCAAGACACCTCGTTAGGAAGTGAAGACATCAATGTTTTCAATGCAGCATCAACCATTCAAGGGCTATCTGGGATTTCAGATTCTGCTTGTGCTCTCTCTCTTCTGTCATCACAATCACAGAACTCTTCAAGCCACTCATCAGGAATTCCCATGGCTCGTTCCCTGGTTGTTCCAGGCAACCATACCCATTACAACATGAGTCAAGTCTCAGAAAAGCTCATCAGAGTTAACTCACAGGCTTCAACTACTGGGGTGTCAAATAAGTTCTCTTCAACAGGGATGAATTCAATTGAAGGGAGTCACTTGGGTGCCCTACTGGTATCTGATGGTCGTGAAGCTGCCAAATTTGATATCACTGATGGGATTTACCAAGGTTCAGAATTCATGAATACCAAGGATTGCCTATCATGCGAAGATGGACCGATGATTGACTTGCTTCAGCTTTCATCACAGCTTCAGCAAGTTGAGCATCAAAGACAATCTATGCAGGTGAAGCAGGAAAATGAGGCTTTTTGCTGCTTCCGAATCACTTAAGTACAGATTAAATAAGGTAAGTAAAGATGTTTAAATGTTCTTTGTTACATGATTGCTACTTGAATATCTCTTGAAAATGCAAGGAGGGGAAATGTTTAGAAGAAAAAAATGTTGATGCTCTAGGATCTTTCCCTTTCCTTTTTTTTTTTTTTACGATTAAGATGAAATTTCTAATTAATCATACACCTTATTGAAACTGTATCAATTTTGCTGCATAAAACAAAATTTAGCTGGAAGTATGAATGATTTTTGGTAGAATTTTAAACCAATATTCTGTATAAATTAAAAATGATTTAAGCTTGTGTGCTCTTCCCTGAGCAAAAAGTGTGAATAACTGCTTAGAAGAAACCACGTGGTTCCTCATTGTGCATTGTTAATCTTTCTTAAAAGTATGGTGAGAATTTGGACTAGCTTCTATGCTCTGGCAATTAAATGACGTGGGACAAAACCAGCATTTGCTAATGTATCAAATTCTTTTCATTCTTTGTAGAATATGGTTGCTTGCTTGGATCAAACATTCTTCTGTTAAAACCATGTTTGATGGAATTAAATCACAACTTAGGCATAATGTAGATAGTGATTTGACAACACTTCAAGATGATGGGAGAAAAAGATATCAAATCAAAGGATGTTAGCATTATAGCTATTTCCATCGCAAACATACTACTATAACCAAAAGATTTCTTAGCATAGCATGTACACTTGATCTTTTCGTATGACCTGTATTTACGGTGATTAGTTAATTACTTAATTAAAGCAAAACTGTATTGGCCATAGAAAAATCAGCATGGAAAGCAAGAAAGTTGTGTTGCCAAAGGTGATCTGAAAATGGTTGCTAAGTCAGTAGTAATTGGCAGCAAATTCTTTCCTGAAATCATGGAATTGGGATCGTAAGGCATTCAAGCTGCAATATTGTGCAGCCAGATGGATTTTATTATGTGAACAAGGGATGTGGGGAAAATGACCAATGGAAATAACAGAAACATTGGGAGGCAAATCATAGAAACTTAATTAGGTAGCATTAAAAAAGGGAAAATAAAGAAATTAGATAATTTACGTTTTTCCATTCATTGGACAACAGTTTTTATACCAAGTGCTGACAAAATTGGATTTCTCTGCAATATGTTGATTAATCATTGATTTTAATCTTTAAGCTTCACTTTTTATTGTAGAAGTTCTCAAACCAATAATGAATGAAAAATTCATCTCATTCCCCTTGATCTCCACCACAGCCACCCTCCTTTTTCCTTCTATGAAAAGATTGATAATTAGGAGCATGTATGGTAGTACATCAGCTTCATCTCTAATTGAATAGATTTTTCATTTTTGTCATGCTAAATCCAGATAAGACGCATGCCCCCACATCAATTTAGTGATTATCATGTATCTCAGAAAGATTTTTTTTTTTTATCATTTTTGCTAGTCTCAGTGTTGATAATGCTAGTACACATTTATGCACTAGTTTTTATACCAAGTGCTGACAAAATTGGATTTCTCTGCAATATGTTGATTAATCATTGATTTTAATCTTTAAGCTTCACTTTTTATTGTAGAAGTTCTCAAACCAATAATGAATGAAAAATTCATCTCATTCCCCTTGATCTCCACCACAGCCACCCTCCTTTTTCCTTCTATGAAAAGATTGATAATTAGGAGCATGTATGGTAGTACATCAGCTTCATCTCTAATTGAATAGATTTTTCATTTTTGTCATGCTAAATCCAGATAAGACGCATGCCCCCACATCAATTTAGTGATTATCATGTATCTCAGAAAGATTTTTTTTTTTTATCATTTTTGCTAGTCTCAGTGTTGATAATGCTAGTACACATTTATGCACTAGTTCATGAATTTTAGACTAACTGCTTCTTTATTTTTCACTCTTCCACCTTTGAATTTGTTGGCTTAGGACCAACAACTGGACTTGCAATGGGAGAGGAGTGCAATGTGGTAAATGGTGTGCAGTTCTGAAGACATTCATACTTGATCCAAGGGTAACATAAATTGGAAGCATTAGGGAGAGAAAATGATGAGAAAATTCAGATTCTAATCCAACCTTCTCAGCTGCTGCTACCAGCTTTTTAAATTTCATCTAGACTTTGTTTACATAACCAGGAAGTCATTCCTTCCCCACAAGTGAATAATAAATGGCCCAAAGGTCATATCCACATTCACTTATTTGTCTCCTAAAATGCTTTTCCTTCTTGTTTCCCTCGATGTTATTTGAACAATTTCATCAAGTCTCACCTGTGCGGTTGCACATCATAACATAATGACTGATTATTGTCTGCAATTTCCCTAATTAATAACACCCTGTAATGTTTCTGGTTCTTATTCACATGCTCTAGCACTTGGATTCCTATAATCTTATGGCGAGCATTCCTGTCTGTCATGCGAGCGACCTGGTAACTTTTGTTCGTGAAGGAATGCAAAATCCAAGAGGACCAAAATTAAAATAATGTCAGCGCTCTGCTTTAAGTTGGCTGCCTATAAGCTAGGAGGGAGACAATGGGACCAAAATCCAAATTAGCTGGATGGTCACGATGGTTCCAATAAGTCCAGGACAAGGAGATCACAGTTCTTTTTTATTTTTTATTTTTTTTGTCTGGAAACTGAAAACCAAATGCTTTGCTAGAATATCAATGTCCATGCATTGCTCAAGGAAACAAGATGGGGTTATTGGGAGCACATGGGACATGCAAATGAAAACAGAGGAAACAGCTGAGGAATGCAAATTTATTTGGGGACAATGCAGACGAGAAAACAGCTTGTGACACTTCCCAAATTGTGTTGGTTAAGATTTTGAGAGATTATGAAAAGATTCCGTAGCTTCAATCAAATTTATCTACCGACAGAACATACCATCTCCTTCTCACTGTTGTAGGAAATTTGGTGGAAATATCAACATGAATTGGCTATGGGTGCTGATTCGAAAATTGATCGATAAAATTTGATTTATATAATCGCTCTTAAAAGATAAAATCTAATCTATTAGTTAAATTTCATTTTCTGTAACTCCTATCTCAAACGAAGGCCTACAATGTAAAAGAAAATTGTAACCTTATGTGACACTGATTCATCAAGTTCCAACCACAATTTCAAACTAAGCATAGAATAAAATTAACTTCGTTCTTTCAGCCATGAAATGCCCATTTACCATGCTTCATTCAACAATCGTTGACTCCTTAGGAGATGCCTAAAGGGATAAGGCCTTTACCCTTTCAACTTAACATTCAGAAGAAAGAAAATGTCAACAGAAACCAAGAAAAGACGAGAAAAGGAAAACACTATAACTTTTCTAATCATCTCAATCATCTAAATTAATTAAATACTACCTGACTCGCAAATCTAATTCAATACATAATCCATCAATTTATTATTGTTCTAAACTCAGTAATATGATCAATTGAAATATAACCCCCCCTCCACCCAACCTGCAAAATAGACATTCTAAGCTTTAATGCAAGAGCCTAGGCAAAATGGATGATCCTGATACAAGCCTAGGGCTCTGCTAAACAAAATGGTAGCTATTTAATTGAATAAGTTTATTTCAAAGCACCATCGGGCAACTCAGAGGAATTTGCACCTGATGGGTTCAGTTCATCCCATGCTTCAATCCATGTCACCATAGCATCTGCAAGCTTGTTGAAGTACTCATCGACCTTGCCTAGTTTTGCCTTGACCTGCTTGGAGAGTTCAAGGTAGCATTTCTGAACAGTGTTGCAATCCTTGGGAAGGGTAACAGACTGGAAGAACGGTATCAACTCTTCTTGCCAGTAAATTCCTTTGTATTCCTTCTTAAGATTCACAAAAGGATTGCTGGCTTTGCTGTGCCAAATGTAAGGCAATCCAGTCTTCACTCCCCAATCTAGGTGATCACATATAACCTGCATGCAAACAGACATGGTATTAACCGCTGCAGTTTGATAGGAAGCTTATATACAGCCATAGACACTATAATAGCAACTGATTGATAGCACAGAAGATCAGTGTAGAAGGTAGCGACAAAGATAAGATACCTTGGTGCACCAGCCAGCCCACATATCGTCGTATCGTCCAATTGGCTGGCCATCACCCATGAGTCCAAAGTACATTGCAGGGCCAATCAATTCACGGTTGAATGCGAGATTCATACCACACATGGGAAAGAGGGTTCCCTTTGGTATTGTCATAATAGCATCAACATACCTGATAGAAATTAGACATGGGCTTTAGTCTTCATTTAAATGAGAACATACATAGCATCAATGTGGAGGGTTATAAATACCTGGTGTTCCTCTCAAGTGGCTTAACAAGCTGAGTTGGTGCATCATAATCTGGGATGTTGAGCCAGAGGCCATGAGACACAGCAGTGGGAACACCCCCACGGAGACTGAATGGGTACCCACGAACAAAATCTGCACCAGCTCGGTATGGATCATACAGAGTGTTGAAGAAAAAAGGAGTAGAAGGACTCAGAAGGTTCTTTATGTGCTGCTCCAATGCATTAATGTCTTTTCCAGATGGATCTTTAGCAACCTGTAAAACCAAGCAGCCTCCAACTTCAGATTCACAGGTGTAGATTATCAGAAGATATCAGAACATTTCATAGTCAGATCTCATGATACTGCATCCAAGAAGAATTGATAAAACTTGCACAAGAAGGACCCAATCATTTATAACCAACTGAATGCTACAAGAAAACAGCTAAATCTCAAGCACATTCTAAAAGCTAAAAAACCAGCTTCTGATTGTCAAAACTGATATCCAATGCAGCTAGCATGCATATTGGTTCATATATGTAATCAATAGCCAAGAAAGAAATCTCATCACTTCAAACCAAATATATAATACATAACACCAAATGTGTAACCCAAAACGGACCCACATTTTAAAATTTGCAATCAAACATATTAAATAACATGACTATGTTTGAACACATTATAAGGAAAGGCTGCTAAGAGTCACATGAACATTACAAGGCAATGGCGTTAAAATATCAAGTGGCCCATGTGTCTCTCATTCCATGCCGCTTAAGCTTAGTGGTTTGATAAATTTCTCAACAACCTCACAGATCAAGGCAGAAATCTATTGAAAATATTTCAGGAAACACAGATCGATACCTGAAATTTGCTAGACTGTGCAGTGTGCAAGCAGATGTGTAACTGATGGATTCATCATTTAGCAGGAATAAAACAGAAACAACAATTGCAGATCCAAATGCAAATGAAGATAGTGAAGTATCACCAAATTACAAAAAAAAAAAAAAAAGAAACAGCTTTTAAAAAAATTCAAGTCACCAAAAGACCAAACAAGATTCAATAGTGTCATATTACGTCAAGATCTAAACGGAAACATTAAAATATCACATCAAGATCCAAAACTTAAAACCCAAATGCAAAACAGGAAAAATAAATGAACCCAATTTCCAATTCCAAAAAGTTGACTCAAACCCAGATCTCCAAAGACACCCACATAAATTAAAAAAAACAAAAAAAACAAAAAATTCAACAAAACCCAACATTCAAAAAGACGAAAGAGATAAGTCATGAGCTTACGAAGCAGTCATCATCAATGGTATAGATGTATTTCTTCTTGGAAACCATGTAACCAAAGCACCTACAAGCAGAGTCCTTGAAAGAGATACAGGAAGCCTTAGGACCCAAAATCCTGTTGATATCGTTCCTGTTGTAAAGCTCATAGTCAAAGCCTTCAGGAACCTTGATGGTCTTTGAAGGATCACCATCTTGAACAATGATGAGATGGTAAGGCTGGAAAAAGGGTCTCCACATCTCCAAAAAGTCCAAGTTCCTAATGGTTGGAATCACGATGTCAAGCTCATCCTTCAACAAAGGAACTGGTGAGGTAGTCGCCATTGGAGAAAGCTTGGACAAAGCAAAACAAAGCAAAGCAAGACAAGGCTGAGAGAGGGAGAGGGAAAGAGGAGAAATGGTGTGGTGTAAGAGAGGGATCGGCTAGGGTGGCACGTGCGAAGGAAAGAAGCTGACTTTTGGCAGGAAAACAGCTCAACTAGATTCACGCGGTCATGTTTTTTCGGAAAGTTAATAAAATTGAACTTATTATTTCAATTCTATTACTTTTGACAAATACAATAATTTAAGAACAACCAGTTAAAAATAGTAAATAATTTGTATAATTATCGATTCCTATTTATATATTTCAATATTTGTATGCATTCATCATCTTTTAATAATTTTTTGAAAAAAGCTTATTAAAAATGCCAATTTTATTTTATATAAATGGAGGTCAAAATTAAAAGTTACAAAAAAAATTATAAATACTAGCATTTGAATTAATTTTTAAATTCAAAATATAAATTATTTAAATTAATTATGTGTGTTGCTTTTGAGAAATGTAAATTAGATCTAATAATTTAAAATATAATACAGTGATACGATACGAATATGATACGAAAATAAAATATAAAAATAACATTATTTAAAATTTTAATAATAATTATATATGAACTTAATAAAATTAAATAGATATATTTTATGTTTTTATATCAATACGAATTGTGACATATAATTCTCGTATAAAATATAATATAAATTTAAAATTTTTATTATTTACAATAAAATGAATACACGAATTATCAAATTTAGTGTAAATTAATAATATTACAACAAATGACAATTTTATAGAACTTGTTTTTACAATATATCATTATATACATTAACCATTGTTAGAAGAAAATATAAATTTCTTTTTTTTAAAGAAAATCATAATATAAATTCTTTTGCACTATTTAGTCAAACCAACAATTTTTATAAAAGAGAATATATAGGAATATTAATTTTTTTTAAAAAAAATTATATAGCAATGTTGAACCTATCAATGTTTCCTCTTTCCTGCAAAGAAGCTCATCAATAAAGAAAATTTAAAATTTTTTTTAATGGTTGAATTATTATATAATTGGAGCAACTCTCTTCTTTCTTATAAACTTTATTTTTTTGATAAAATTAATTTTTTTAAATATCATAAAATTAAAATTTTAATTCCAATATCATATATAATTACCAAAAGCATTTATTTAAAATATGTGATATCTTCAAGAACATGTGTTAATTACAGATAAAAATTAGTATGAAATTATCATTTGAAATTGGTGGTTCATTTTTATTTGAAATTTAAAATTTTACAATTAAAATTAAAAAATTACCATGTTTATTTTTCATTACTTCAATTTTTTAATATATTTTAAATGGATATATGGCAATTTTCAACTAAGCTAATGAAATTTAAAAAACTTTACAATTGTACAAAATAATTTCCAACCAAGATATTTAATAAAGTGATACATTGTGTTCAAATAAATATTAAAAAAAACTTGTAAATAATTATTTTATATTTAATCAAATATAATATTTTTTAAAAATATTTTTTACAACATGAAATTGAAATTACTGGAGAGTTTGTTAAATTTATTTATTTATTAAAAAAATAAATCTCTTTATTTCAATAATTAATGATTTTCTATTCGAATTTAATTTATTATTATTATTAACAATAAAAAAATAATTGTAATGATAAAGTTGGCACGTGCCAGACCGGCGTGGCGGGCACGAGCAGGGGGGAAGTGACAGTGACGTGTCTGAAAATTCCATGTACGCGGGGACGACCAGTTCATACCCACCGCCCGCCGGTGCGTGGCATTGAGATTTGTACCGACGTGGATTTTTGGATCAAGAAGAAAGTTGGGCCAACGAAGAACACGTGGCAAACCAAGATTGGATTTAGGAATGCAAACCAGTCAGTTAGTCATGAGTTATTCATATTCTTGATTTATTTATTACGGAGCCCAACTTCAGTTTGAACTATTTTAAGTAATAAATCGAATTAAATTGGAATAATTTAATATGTAATAAGAGGGGTATATGAGTTTATCGAATTTAATTAAGTTTTTATTTTTTAATATAAATATATATAAATAAATGATAAAAATATATTATTTAATATTAATATTTATAATTTTATCGAATTTAATTAAATTTAACAAGTTAAATTCAAACAATGTAATTAAATTATAAATTAAATTCAAACATTAAATATAAAACTTGATAAAATTTGATTAAAATTTTGATTTTGAATTTTTTAATAGAATCAAACTCAAGAATAATAATATATAAATTTGGATTTAACATGATTATAAGTTAATTATAGGAGTGATAAATTATTTGAATTAGATTAGATTTAGTTTGATTTTTCATATAATATATATAATTATAAATTTTTAAAATTTAATTTGAATCCAAACCAAATTTTTATATGATCTGATTTGATCCGAATCAAATTTTATCGGTTTGGTTCGGTTCATTGGTTTTAAATTTTTAAATTTTTTGTATATTATTTTAATATATTTAAATAAATTTAATTATAAAATAATTATTTTTATTTTATAAAAATTTTAAAAATATATAAAAGTAATAAAAATATATAATTTGATTTGATTAATTTTTTTATTTTTTAATTTAAAATTTAATTTAACCTTAATACATACATTTAATATTTGAATTTAATTCAAATTAAATAAAAAAATTAAATCAAATATTGTAATTTTAAATCAATTTTTAATTTTCTCAAATTTTTTCTCGACTCTACCTTGCCGAATAGAATGAGAGAAATTTGAAAAGTTTTGGATGGGGTGTCGGTTGCTTTCAGTTTAATGAAAAAAAAAAAAAGAAAAATAATTAGTCAAAAAGTTTTTTTTTTTTTGAGCCAATGGAAGAAATTGGCCAAAAAGAAGTTAGTGAGTGGGTTTTCTGAGTGCTAATACCAGACATTAGGGTAACCCAAACCCTAAATTACTAATTAAATAGTGTTTAATGTGTACATTTAAAGGAATTAAAAGCACTTTAAAGTTTGAGAATGTTTCCTGATAAGGAAAAACTTGCATTACTTGTCCATTATCCTTTCCAAAATTCTTTTCTGGGGTTCTGAATTCTTGTTTGGAATGAAATCTTACAGCATTATAATACTTATTATATGTGCTTGTAAAAATGTGAACTACTAACAGCTAACAGCTAATACCAACTTGTATATGATTGGATTATTGATTTCATTAGCTTAAACACTCTTTTTTTAGAATCAATTCAATTAATTCATGCAATCACTTTAAAATGTAATATCCAACAAATTTAAGATTTAAATCCGAACAATTGCAATCTCGTCTCGTATCACCAAGTTACAATCTCTTTGTATACAAAAAAAAAAAAAAAAACTTCTTTCTTTAACATATAAGCAGAATTGCAAAAGTCTCTCCTTAATCTTTGCCATTTTCAACTGTCATAGAGGTTTCATCATGGCTCACTCTAGTCATAACCCCTAAAAGATGTTGAGAATACGACAGGAGAATCTAAGATGAAGTACCCAACAAAATTTCAGAAGTCAACCTTTCTGAATTCTAATATGTATATATACATACATACCCACATACATACATAAATATACATGCATACATACATATATCAAGGAGACTGTTCCAAGTTTAAAGGAAACATTCCTCACAGTTGTAAGAGGAGTCCTGCAATTTTTGACTTGCTATCTGGAGTCCCCAAAAACCAACAGTTCACCAGCTGTTGCAAGGGCGGTGTACTTGGTTCTTGGGGACAAGACCAGGCGGCTGCTGCGTCATCCTTTCAGGTTAGTGTAGGGCATTTAGGTACATCAAAGAAAACAGTCAAAGTGCCAAAGGGTTTTTATTTTCTTGGTCCTGGAGCAGGCTATGCATGCAGTTCTGCAATGATTGTTCCATCGTTTTTTTTCTTCGCATCTGATGGTCGGCGAAACACCCGTGCAATGGGTGAGTTGGTGTTAGCCATGTTGTGGCATATATGCTTTACAATAACTGATGATTTAAAAAAAAAGGAAACAAAAATTTAGTTGCATTAATTAGATACATGTTTGTCACTTACCATATTGCTTTAGGATCAAAATTTTACAGTTGAATGTTATATAATAATGGCATTCCATTAACAAAATAATTAGTATTCTAGCAGAATTCTTTGTCGGAGCAAACTAGGAGACATCTTCAACTAAATTTCTAGCAATGACAATTAGATTTAGAACGCAGTTCCTCCGTGTTTGCAGTGACATGGACTGTTACCTGCACATATTCGCCAATGCTTGTTTCACAGAACCCTACCGTTGTGTCTCATTGTCTTCGTTCTATAATCCTGTGATCACACCCTGTTCAAGTTGTGCTTGCGGTTGCCAGAATAAAGATAACTGCATTAAGTAAGCATAATTTTGATTTCCATAAGATGCTTTACAAGTTATAATTTGTAAAACTAGCAGAACTTCAAAAATTAAATGTTTCAACTTTCAAGTTGATTGATGGCAGGTATAGATGTAATTGGTGAATTGCAGGAGAGATTCTAAAATTTCGGCTGTTCTGAAATCAAACTTGCTAATGAATGGCAACGCTCAGTTGCTGCAATGCACATAACATATGTACCCCATCCAGGTGCAGTGGCATGTTAAGGTCTGTTACAAGAAGTATTAGCGTGTGAAGATCACCATCACCAATTTCAACTACTGGAAAAATTACTCTCTCTGGAATCTTGTTGTTCAACATCCAAATCTCAAAAATGTCATTCAAGTTTATAACTTCACATACAAGTCACTCCTTTGCCAATCCATAAGTAAGCTTATCACACATTCCTTTAAGTAACAAGCATATTCTGGACCTCACCTTTACAAGAAGGAAACTGTACAGTTAACAACTGAAATTTTGCTGTAGTGTATCCTGCCAAATCAAAGGATATGGATTCATCATGTTAAACTAGTATTATTTCAGGTTGAAAAACTTGTTAACTTTCTAAGGTGTGTGATGGATTTTCACCATGCGGATGATACTGGTGTGTTTTATGGTGTGAAATATCGGAATGAACTACTCATGGAAGCTGGACCCGGGGGAAATGTTCATTCGTAACTGATTTTTGGAAAAGATGAAAATGTATTTACATTGGAGCAAGGATGGGCTTTTCCTCATAAAGTTTATTTCAATGGTGACGAATGCATGATGCCTCCCCCTGATTCATACCCATTTCTACCCAACTCCCCTAGTCGAATTACACCTTCACTGTTTGCTTCTGCTTTGCTTTTGATATTTCTAGCCTTTTTGTCTTTCTGGTGTGGTTTCAGAATCGAAAGGCAGAAAAGAAGGGCCCCATGGAAGAATCCTGTATAAGATGTATTAAGTATTAAATGTATAGAAAACTCCTTCACCTGGCACCAAGTTCATCTGTAACATATACAAAGAATCCTATAATCATAATTTTATGCTTTAACATGAAAATATAGAAACTTGACTGCATAAAGTTTCTCTTTTAGGATTATCATATTTAAAAATGTATTAATTTTTTATGGTCTGCTTGCCTCTGCTTTGATGAGTATGTGTCTGGTGCATGACCTCTATGTGGCCCTTTTGGCCTAATTATTTTAACATTACTTGGCCTGAACTTAGAATGTTGGAATCACCCTTCCCTTGTATGAGCATGTAAGTATAAATATAACTATTTTAATAACAGCTGGTATCTTTCAAGTTCTCTTGAGTCTTGTCTATGTCTGATCTTTGAAACGGAAGAATAAATGTTGAATGAGGTTTGAGATTCGATTCATCTTCTAGAAGATTGTTGTTTATGCAATACTTCGAATAAACAATATAATCTTGAGATCAGCTTTTGAAGATGAATAAATGACCTAAGCAACTATTAAAATCCTTGAGATAATTTAAGCAGGTTAGACAGAAAAATGGCTCAATTGATTGGGATTTGGTAGATTTAATAATTTCAAATATGATAAGTGAACATAATATAAAAAGATATGAAAAATATATGAAAATAATACAATTTAAAATTTTAACAAAAATCAAAATTATATTTTGTGTTTGGTAACACAAATTGTGACAATATTTTATAAGTGTTTGACATAAAATATACACGATATAAATACATGAATTACTAAGGATTTGGGAACAACATATACTGTGTACCTGTCCAGAAGCCAATAGTTCCTCCCTGACTGCCTTGCTGAAGAAAGATGTAAAGCTGTTGTGGCTCCTTCACTTTTGCTAGATCGGTACATAGTGAATAATGTGGGCTATTTTGATATTTCTGAGCGTAGAAATAACCAGATGAAGCTTTTAGTTCATACATATTGGTATCTTTAGATGTCCCAAGTCCCAATAACATTTGAAAATTTGATCCTGGTTCCAGTTTGGTGCTCAAATCGTCATCGTTTAATGTGGAACCGAGACTGTGTTGAACTTGGCAAACAAATACATTTGAATTGCAGAATTGAATTTTTGTATTTCAGGGATCAAACCACAATTTCCCAAATACTGAATTTTGAATAATTTTACAGATTAATTTTGTACATTCTGAGTTCTGACAATGACTAGGGACTGGTTCTGTCCAGGATTAAACATGGTTAAAAGCAGGCAATAATAGATAGATCAAACAAGTTAGGTTTACATTTTATGTTCAAGTTGATAAATAGTTTACGGAGAGTTCAGCCTGTGGAATTGTAATCAAAGTTGCATCCACCATCCATTAGAAAAACAATATTGGAAGTTGGCTAATCCTTGTCTGAATTAGTCACATATGTTATTTCCCTTTAAGCAATGAGATATGTCGGTAGGGGGATGGAAAGTCAACAATGATTTTGTTGTTGGCATTTTCCTATTGTTTTAGAATCTGAACAAAAATACCATCCAAATTAGAATGATCTGTGCTTCATTTTCTAATGCCATGGAATATAATAAGTTGAAGTTTGATTAAATTGCATTTTCATTTTAATCACCTAGGGTTAATATATTATTAGCTTTCTTGTTAATAAAAATTCTCTAAATCAACCGACGTTTGATCCAGTTAATTTATATAATTATTTTTAAAAGTTTGATAATTAGAAGATATGAAATTTTAAATTCGAGTAGCTATAATCCGGCTTTCTATTCTCATATTACAATCTTTTTTGTATAAAATATTCGTTAATTTCTATTATCCTAATCTTGGTTTTTTCCCATGTTAATTATTTGCTATTCCTTCCTCTTTTTCTTTCATTTTCCTAGTTCAAGTTAACATCTGGTGAAATTCTTTTGCTTCATCCTTGTGATGCACTGTGCCTTGCTGATCAAACATACCAATGACAAAGGAACAAATTCCTCTTTCTACTAACTAAAATTGAAATATTCTGTCGAAATTAAACGTTCTATTTGAAACAATTGAAGAGTCATAATCACAATGAGAGTTGACTACAATTATTTCAAATCCCACAGCTGTATTTTGCCATATTCCTCTTTCACCAAATGAAAATAATGTCCAAATAATCAGCTTTTAAAAAACTAAAGAAGACAATTTTAAAATATTGTTGAAAAGGAACCATGGCTAGCTTTCTTGTTTTCTGTCACCAAATGAAACATTATAGTATTTGCAATATAGACATATACTATATGTTGGTGAAACTTTGTTTTACTTTCCCCGAATTAGACTGAGCATGAATAAATGTTAGTTTCTTCCATCATCTGGGGTGATTAATAGAAGGATCTCTGCTGTAATTCAGTAGTCCCTCATGGACTCTTATAGACTGTCCTTTTCCATCAAAAGATTAAAAAACTAGCTCATCGAAATCATTTGTTTGGTACATATAATTATTTTAACCCCCAAACCTGTGTGTTGTTACGTTTAAGTCATGCTGTGTTATTAGAAGCCTAATCAGTGTTGGCAGGTAGGCTGTTATGCTCAAATATTTTGAAATAGCCCTCGTGCTCGAAGTCAATAATCAACCATTATTCGTTTTGGAGAGCCTGGAATTGATACAAAACGCAGAAACTTTAATATAAATTGTATCAGAAACTAACAGGAAGATGTGAAATGAAACAGCCCAATAAAACCAGTAGGTGAGCCTTCACTAATCAACTCTTGTTTGTTCAATGTAAAACTATTTGTTGGCATAAATATCACCCCTCTTATTCCTTGTGTCGATACTGCAGAAAGGAGCCAAGACAAGTGATCTTGCAGAATGGTTTTCAAAAAATTCGCCTACCCTCTTGCATTAGCTGCTTTCTTTGCTATAATTGTTTCTCAAGCAGGTAAGTTTCTAGCATTCAATGCTGAAAACTTGATTCTATCCATGCTCACTAACTAATAGTTTTCCTCTCGTTTTTATTGTGTTGTAGTGGCATATGACCCCTTAGATCCTACAGGAAACATAACAATCAAATGGGATATCATGTCCTGGACTCCAGATGGCTATGTAGTAAGTGTAACTTGAATTCAGTAATCATAAGGTGCTATTTCTTTCTAGTAAGTTGTCATGTTGATCATGCACTTATTGAGTCATCATTGAAATGTATAAGACAGTAAAACCAAGCAGCAATTCTTCATTTGAAAGATTGCTTGTCAATTACCAAATATTGAAATCTAAGCTTATGATTACTATGTTCAGGCAGTAGTAACAATGACCAACTTCCAAATGTATCGGCACATAATGAGCCCTGGCTGGCGCTTAGGGTGGGTATGGGCTAAGAAAGAAGTGATCTGGTCAATGGTGGGAGCCCAAGCGACTGATCAAGGAGATTGTTCTAAGTTTAAAGGAAACATCCCACACTGTTGTAAGAGGAACCCCACAGTTGTTGACTTGCTCCCTGGAGTCCCATACAACCAACAGATTGCCAATTGCTGCAAAGGAGGTGTTGTGTCCTCATGGGGCCAAGACCCGTCAGCTGCAGTTTCCTCCTTTCAGCTGAGTGTTGGTCTTTCTGGTACTTCCAATAAAACAGTTAAACTGCCTAAGAATTTCACTTTGCTTGGTCCTGGTCTGGGCTACACATGTAGCCAAGCAAAAATAGTACCACCCACAGTTTTTATCTCAGCTGATGGTCGACGAAAAACTCAAGCATTGAGTAAGTTTGATCTTTATTAAATTTAGGTGATCTAGGATCTGTCTGCAAATAAAATAGTGAGAGCATGAACCTGGAAAAAAAAAATGAACTTAAAACTGCTTTCAGATAGTTCTACTTATTAATTGGATGCATTTCTTTTGTTGTCCTATATTTCTTGTTCGCAGTGACATGGAATGTGACATGCACGTACTCTCAGATCCTGGCTTCACGATATCCAACCTGTTGTGTCTCGATGTCATCTTTTTACAACTCTACAATTACTCCTTGTCCAACATGTTCTTGTGGCTGCCAAAACAGGAATAATTGTGTCTCGTAAGCCTCCTTCGCATCTCAGGCTTTAATTCTGAACCTAACAATTACTTTTGTATGAAGCTTTTGATATTTCTTGTGAATTAAGGTATCTGGCTAATGGCTAGAGTGTAATGCAGGAGTAATTCAGAGATCAGAACTGTTGTAGGAACGAATGCATCAACGAGCCAAAATACCAACACCATAAAATGCACAAATCACATGTGCCCAATTCGTGTGCATTGGCATGTGAAGCTCAATTACCAGGCGTATTGGCGAGTCAAGATGACCGTCACCAATTTCAACTACCAGATGAACTATACACAGTGGACGCTTGTTGCTCAACATCCAAATCTCAACAACATCACTCAAGTTTTTAGCTTTGACTACAAGCCTCTCATCCCATACCAATCTCTAAGTAAGTCTAGTCTTGCAATTCCATCTGGTCTAATTCGAGAATTTGTGTTTATTTATTTCGTATCTAACACAAATAAAACCTAAAATTATCATATCACAACTTGTGTTACACGATAAACACAAATCTCATTTTTTAGTTTTGGCTAAAATTTTGAATTGTGTGATGTTTGAGTCTTTTTTTCATTTTGTGGCACTGTATATTTCTAATGAAGTGACCATAAATGGAGGCTAACCTTTGCCTACATTGGATCCACAGATGACACTGGTATGTTCTATGGTTTGAAGTTCTATAATGATGTTCTAATGGAAGCCGGACCAGATGGAAATGTTCAGTCAGAGTTGATTCTTCAAAAGGGCATGAATACATTCACATTTAAGCAGGGTTGGGCTTTTCCCCGGAAAATATACTTCAATGGTGATGAATGCAAGATGCCAGCTCCTGATGAATATCCTTACCTACCAAATTCTGCCAAATCAAATCTAATTTCATCATTTACAATGGCTACCTTCATGATTCTGGTTTTGCTAGTCTTTTGGTGATAATTTGAAGAGCCTGAAACCAGGGAAATTAAGCTGAAGGAGTGAAGTAGCAATTGTTTTGTACAGAAACCAATGGTGATCTCCTCTATCCACTCATTGGTGACAGCTGATAAGGAAACAGAGAAAATTTCCTACCCTTGAATCTTCAAAGAACCTCTTCTTGTTTTATTGGATCTGGATTTTGGAAAGAATCAAAATAGTTGTACTATTTATGATTCTAAAATAGTTCATCATCAAACAAACAACTCATTAATTTTTCATTGGTACAACAAAATGAGAAATAATGAGTTACATGCAAATGTTTTTGCAATTGAACTTAGGGTTTAATTTGGTTGGTTATATTAGCCATTTTTAAAAAGTTTGGTTCAAATTTCAAAATTTTATAAATTCTTTTAAAAATTTTTAATCTACTCTTAAATTTTTTATTCTATTATATATATAATTGAAAATGACATTAGTTATCTAAGTTCTTTTGAATTTACAATTTACAAGTATCAACTCCAATGATATATCAACTGTTTTAAGAAATAATTAATCAAAATCCTTTAATTTTTTTATTCCTATTGATCATCTCAATAAAAAAATATTATTACAATTAAGTTTTTATTTTTAAAAAAATAATTAAATTGAGAATCTCCATGTATAATTAAATTTTCAGTAGGACCCATCTCAATGCCAACCCACGTTGCGGTTAATTGGGCCCAAATTGATAACCTAACCACCAAATCTAAACTGAATTTATTTTAGAACAAATAAAAGATAAAATTGCATGATTTACATGATATGGGATGTTATAAAATTGAAATGCTCTAAAAATGTCATTTTCCTGCTAGGTAAAGTGCCAATTTAATTTTTGAATATCATTTTTTATTTAAAAAAATTGTAACTTGAAATAAAAAAATTAAATTTTAAAATTTTAAAGTATTAAATTACATAAATTAATTAAATTAAACCTTAAATTATCTTAGCAACTCATTTCAGGTTTCAGGAATGCTACTAAAGGGTTTAAAATTAGTCCATTACTGTACCCTTTAACCAAAGGGACGGAGGAAGGATTGCATTACTATTAAAATAAAAAATTTTAGAGCAACAATTATTGGTCTGAATAATTAAAGAGTTCGATTGCTTTTAATTGAAATTTTAATTTTAAATTTTGTGAATGAAGAAAAAGGTATTGGGAGAACTTTCCTTTTATGAGTTTTAATCCAACTAAATTTCGGATTAGTCAAAATTTAAAGTGATTACCAGACACTAGGATTCTTAGATCAAAAAATTAAAAATTTATTTTTTTAATTTATTATTTGATATAAAAATATAAAAATAATTTTTAATTATTTATTATTTTTATAAATATTTAAAATATATTAAAAATTATATTATATACAAATTTTAATTTATTGAATAATTTTTTATTTTCGCTAGACTTTACTTTATCATTATTATTGTTTTTATTATCAAAGCACATATTTTATCACTTAATTTAATTTAATTTTTATAATAATCAATTTTACTATTTTTATACTACTTAGATGTTAAGTTCATTAATATTTAATAACTAAAATTAATGAATTAATGAATCCGAGTCTTAACTCACGTTGAATATACAATCATCTTAAGAGATAATATTAAATAAATTTAAAATTCAAATATTCGGTATGTAATTTTTTTTTATTCTTAAATTATGATTTTTTTATATTAAAAAATTAAGAAATTAATTAAGCATAATACTATGAAAATGGAACAACTACATGCCCCAATTGGTAAAGGTAAATATCTTGCATGATCACAGTCCCAAAGCTATTTCAGCTTGATCATCATACTGCCTTGAACTTCTGCTTATAACTGCTTAAATCAACTTAGTATGCCTTTAAAGGTAGTAAATTTATACTAACTTGGTGTAAAGAAAAATGGTTTAGTTTTTACTTTTTCAGATATTGGTTCCCTTTCAATAACCCTACACATTTATAACTCTCTGAGTGGTTCTAAGGGGTTATCTGAGTGAGGACACACAAGACACAACAATGGATACAAGAGACAGCTACCTTGTATCTTTAATGTTGTTTTCTTAAGCATTTGTCTTTAAATTGAGCTGAGATGTCGTATTCAGAAAGAGAGATATCATTTGCCTCACTCTCACCCTCCATGCACTCTCTTGTATGGATGGGTGGAAAAAGTAGCTAAATTCAATCCGATTTGCTTTTTTTTTTTTACAAAAAATATCATAACCTAGAGTCAAAGAAATGGGTTACAAATGTTGATATTTGAATTTCAAATTTGTTAAATGACACGGAATACGCGTCATACGTTCCTAAAATGAATAGGCTAAAAAGTCCAGTTTCTTGCTATTGAAGCAGTCCACTACTGACATTTCCTCAGATTCACATAAGCTGAAACACATGTAAATGACCATCACAGCGCTGTGAATTTTGCATAAAAGTTGAGCAGTTCTGTTCAAACCTTGCTAAAGTTTTGCTTCAAGATGCAGAAAACTTTTAAAAAAACTGATGTTTCAAAAAAAAAAGAGAGAAGGACAAGGAGAGATGAAAATATCCCATCAAATATTCACAACCAGTTGGTATGACATTTTCAAAGCCTTATTATTTGCCAATATAGAGTTTCCCTTGCCTTTTTTAACACAATGCGGTAATGCAAACAACTTCCAGTCTCCCTTGAGTTCTTGCCAGGAGCTTGGAACTTCAGTGAAATTCTGGGAAATGGGTTTTGATCAATCTACCACAACATCTTACAAAGCCCTCCCCACTTCAATAAGTTACTATCCATGTCGAAAGTGCTGCTCACTTCTAGAAATGAAGTCCATATGTAGTCTAATTGTGCTATTTCTCGTAATGCTTCCCAATGCTGGTAAACTTCTTTCTCAATATCTGAAATGCAAATTTTGGAATGTTTTTTTCCTGCAAGTAACTTCATGTTTGATCTATTTATTACCACTGACTACTCCTGTTTCTATGCTTTTAGCTGCATATGATCCACTGGATCCAACTGGAAACATTACTTTAAAATGGGATATTGTCTCTTGGACAGCAGATGGCTATGTGGTGAGTTTAACATGTCAGCCTGTGATTTTCCCGATTTAGAATCAGATTCTGGATGAAAGATTGCCAGTCACACTGTCATATTCATTTCTAGAACTGAAGCTCCCATGTTCATGAGTTTCAGTTGAATCAAGACTCTGAAAAAGTTTTAATGCCTTGGAAGGTTACCTTAAGCATGAGCTTTCCCTGTTTGTATAACTTTTTTAGGAGTCAACTAAAAAATGTAAAATATCAAATCAGCCATATAATTAGGCAAAATTTATTATGTTGTGCATTGATCGTTTGTGTCTTTTGATAAATGCTATACCAGGCAGCGGTGACAATGAGCAACTTCCAAATGTATCGTAGCATCATGAGCCCTGGATGGACTCTAGGGTGGCAATGGGCTAAGAAAGAAGTGATATGGTCCATGGTAGGAGCTCAAACCACAGAGCAAGGGGACTGTTCCAAGTTCAAAGGAAATGTGCCTCACTGTTGTAAGAGGAATCCTATAGTGGTTGACTTGCTCTCTGGAGTTCCATATAACCAGCAGTTCTCAAATTGTTGCAAGGGCGGTGTGGTGTCAGCTTGGGGACAAGATCCTATTGGTTCAGTCTCGGCCTTTCAGGTGAGTGTTGGAGTTGCAGGAACTTCGAATAAGACAGTAAAACTACCCACAAATTTTACTTTGCTTGGTCCGGGGCCAGGGTACACTTGTGGCCCTGCAAAGGTTGTGCCTTCCACAGTCTACTTCACACCTGATCATAGGCGAAAGACTCAGGCATTGAGTAAGCATGGCTTCACTTCCAATTCTTCTAGTGAATTTTCCAAAGCTGAGTTAATTACTATGATATCTATTGTTTCTATTTTATGCAGTGACATGGAATGTGACATGCACTTATTCACAATTTCTTGCCTCAAGGAACCCAAGCTGCTGTGTTTCATTCTCATCTTTCTATAATGAGACTATCACACCATGTCCAACCTGCGCTTGCGGTTGCCAGAATAAAAAAAACTGTGTTATGTAAGCCTCTCGTTCAATTTCTACCCCCTGGCTGGCAGATCTGCATCTTGATATCTAGATTAGAGTGTTGTATCATAAATGCACACGATAACTTCATTCTCGGTGCTCAATGTCCATGGTGTTTGGATGGTACAGGAGTGATTCAAAGCAGGCACACAAGAAAGGAATAAACACTCCAAGGAAAGACAATGCACCATTGCTACAATGCACACATCACATGTGCCCTATAAGAGTACATTGGCATGTAAAGCTCAACTACAAGGACTACTGGCGAGTGAAGATTGCCGTCACCAATTTTAACTACCGAATGAACTACACACAGTGGACGCTTGTTGCACAGCATCCCAATCTCAATGCTGTCACCCAAGTCTTTAGTTTTGATTACAAGCCTCTGGTGCCCTACGAAGCCATAAGTGTGTCTGAAAACCATTTCTGTTTAATAAACTCTTGCAGAACTAACCAGGAAGCAAATATGGAACCCCAATATCATTAATAACTGTGGTCAACTTGTTTATGCAGATGATACCGGCATGTTTTATGGCATGAAATACTACAATGACCTATTAATGGAAGCAGGGCCCCAAGGAAATGTCCAGTCTGAGGTGCTCCTTAGGAAAAACAAGGACACATTTACCTTCAAGCATGGTTGGGCATTTCCCCGGAAAGTCTACTTTAATGGGGATGAATGCTTGCTGCCCCCTCCTGATACCTACCCTTTTCTACCAAACTCTGCCCATGTAAATCCAATTCCCATATTGACAATGGCGTTCTCGGTTCTCTTTTTTATGTTTACCATTTAGAGATCATATGGAGAGAAGAAGATTCAGAAACTATTACAATACATAAAGAAGAGTGGTTTGTTTATGTTGGACCTTCATTCCTTACATGTATGCATCATAACTCACTTCTAGAAACATGCGGATCTGGTCAGGGTGGGATGATTTTTGATAGGTGTGCAAAAAGTTTCCCTTTTTGAGCTGCATCAATGGTGCATCATGGTGTAAATTGAATTGTCTCACCTTCTATGTCTCTAATGCAGCTTAAGTGTCAATTAATATTAATCAGTTAGCCTTTTTCTCAAGCATTTTCATAACATTCAGGATTTAAAATGGCTGAGTAAAATAGGAACATAACAAACAATATATCAACTAAAATTTCTTGGTGATGTTCCTGAATACAATGCTATAAAATTGTTTGTGGATATTCTACAAACAATCAGATCATGTGTATAATGTGAATAAACATACAACAAAGCAGCTGACTCCAAAAAGAAATGGTGTAAATTACAAACCTGAATATATAAATAATACGCCAAAATGGTATAGGAACAGGAGATTGTGCAACTGAATCCACTTGTAGCATGTTCTGTTACTGCACAACAGTTTTCCAACACCATCAGGTCGATCATTATAAGCTTCAGAGTAATAAAATAAATCAGATGGGATTTGCAGGATGTCAAATGAATAGCTTTAGCTGTTTCAGCAGACATTGTTCATCACATATAAGCCCATGAGAAAATAATTGAGGCCAAGACTGTCATGACTGGCTGAAGTAGAGATATAACTGGCCTAACACCAGTATTTGGCAGCCATGGGTAGGCACCTGGAGATGGCATGACACAGTTATCACCATTAAAATATATCCTCCGTGGGAAAGCCCATCCCTTTTCAAAAGTAAAAGTTGATGCATCTTTTCGGAACAATAGTTCTGATTGCACATTCCCAAGAGGACCGGCTTCTGAGAGCAAATCATTGTAAAACTTAACTCCCCATAACATGGCAGTATCATCTGCATAAGAAAGTTCATTTAGTTCATGGTCGCAACGTATATATTATAAATATAATAGAGATTATGCACAGATTCTGGAGAAGGAAATGATGCTACTACAAAGAAATCATGGCAAACTTATACTTACTTAAGCCAGCATAAGGAGTTAATGATTTGTAATTAAAGCTGAAAAGCTGGGTAAGATTGTCAAAGTTGGGGTGTTGCACAACTAGATTCCACTGAGTGTAATTCATTCTGTAATTGAAATTGGTGATTGTGATCTTCACACGCCAGTACTCCTTGTAGTTGAGCTTAACATGCCAGTGAACTCGAACTGGACACATATGGCTCGTACACTGAAGCAGAGGTGTATTGCTAGATTTGCTTGGACCAGAAACAGCTGAAGCTAAATATGGAGATGTTTCACTGCAGGATGCCATCTCCGAGAAAATATTAAAATAAATTGCCAAAATGTGAAGGATACTTAGGAAAAAAGGCCCAAAAATGAGATAACTAACCGCACACAACTCCCAGGATCTGTTATGTTATTTTGACAGCCGCAAGCACACGTTGGGCAGTTTACAATGGTGTCATTATAGAAGGAAGAGAGGGAGACACAACAAGTAGGTGTCTTCTGAGCCAGGAATTGTGAATATGTGCATGTAACATTCCATGTCACTACAATGAGTTACAGTTAAGATAGACTGAAGTTAGAAAATCATTCATCCATGCTGAAGTATATAGATGACATATCTAACTCGATTAGTACAGACTTAAAATGCAAAACTTCAGCTTAGCAAGTAACTTACTCATAGCTTGAGTTATTCTCCTTTTATCTGGCGACACATATTTAGTTGGTTTCACAATCTTAGCAGGCCCACATGTATATCCAGGACCTGGTGCTTTTAGGGTAAAGTTTCTAGGCACTCTCACAGTTTTGTTAGTTGTTCCTGCAGCACCTACACTAACCTGAAATGAGCTTGCTGAATTGGCAGGGTCTTGAACCCATGAATTCAGCACCCCGCCTTTGCAGCAATTTGCTATCTGCTGGTTATAAGGAGTTCCAGGCAATAAATCCACAACTGTTGGATCCTTTTTACAGCAATGTGGGATGTTTCCCTTATACTTTGAACAATCCCCTTGTTCTGTAGTTTGGCCTCCCATCATGCTCCAGATTACTTCCTTTTTTGCCCATGTCCAGCCTAATGTCCAACCAGGTGCTTGAATATGGCGATACTGTTGGAAATTATACATTGTAACAACAGCCTGCCAAAATCATAAGAAGGATAATAAAACTTCTTTAACTTCAAAACAAATACTCGTGGAACTGCAATGCTGCTGGACTGGTAAATTTTCACCGTAGGAGTTATATTTCTGAACGTGTTTAAGAATAATACATGCATTTAGTGAGCTTTAAAAGAAAATGGAAATAAAAAAGCAATGCCGCATTGAAAATTATTCTAAACTTGAAGACGCAGTTGCATATATAAAACAAAGTGACGTATTTTGAAAACTTTAAATTCGATAAAACAATGCAAACAATCAAAACAAATTAAACAGTACTTTAAACTTCTGATAGAAAGTCAATGCTGGTTCCAAAAAAGTATTTTGATATTTGAAGGTAAGTTATTAGCTTTTTATCAAGTTAGGACCCTTGAGCCTTCAGTAATACTTACAACATAGCCATCTGGGGTCCAGCTTATTACGTCCCATTTGATAGTGATATTGCCAGTTGGATCAAGCGCATCGTAAGCTTCTGCAGAAACAACCAACAAAAGATCCCAAAACTTTAACGCATTGAGATTCAAACATAAACCATTTTGAATTAAGGTCTGGATCACAAATCCAAAATCAACATGCAAAAGATGAAGTTTGCACGTCAATAGCGGTATGCCCTTTTGGCCTTGGCCTGAGTATGGACCCGTGCCCTGTCTAGCATTACTTACTGTCTGCAACTTGTGGACACATATAATATCCAAACAAAAATTTTATTGTGAAATGCCTAGATAGCTCAATGGCATAGATGCAAAGCATTTTCATAATTCCATGTGCTACACCATAAATAAAAGTAATAGTAGGCTTCCTTTTTTTATCACTTTTTGTTTATTAGAGGTATGATAGTTATGATGCTGACTTCAATTCTCAACTTCGATAAGTATCTCTTGCATTATGACACTACATTTCAAAGTCTTTGGAGTCAAATTTGGTCATTTCTACATCGGCAAACACTGTACAACTTGATCTTACACCTTTGAGGACACATCTCCATTCTTCTTAGATTTTTTTCTCTTTCTAATTGGTTTAAGCACATAAATCTTACTATGTTCAGCTCTGTCTTAGTCTTTTCTTTCCCTTTCTTCCAACTAACTCCCTCTTTGCTATAACAAAACCCAAATTGAGCCACTTTTTTAACAAGAATAGGGAAAATAAATGATGCAAAAACACCATCTGACTTTCAGTCACTACGCTAACATTTCTTCTTTTGAAAATTGAAATAAATGCTAAACTAATGAAAGAGAGTAACTAACTATTCTTTAAGGAAAAAGGTCATAAAAATAAAGAAGCACAAACCCATATTTCCCAATCCTTTCAAATTCATTAACAGCAAGCAAAATCAGATAATTGAATCCAATTTCCCAATCAAATCAAAGCATATAAAAGAAACTACAAGATCAAGTTTTGAAGCTAATTCCAGCAACTCATTTTGCCTTTTATATCAACAAACTTGGATGCCAAACCCATTTTTTTAAAGCATCATTATAATTAGCATTCAACACTTAATGAAAATTGAAAACAGTGAAGCTCCAAAGTCCTATGGAGGTATGTAAGCAAAACCCAGATTCAACTTTTACCAACAAAAACTACTCCATTAAAGAAAAGCCTTGCATTTGATTGGAAACTTACCTGTAGAAGTGAAAGTGGAGGAGGAGAACAAGAAGAGAAGCAAAAGGGTGAAGCTACTGAGCTTGGAAATGGATCCAGTTGCTAATGACAAGACAGTATTCTCCATGTCTTGATGCAGACCTTGATATTTTATCTGATGTTTTATGCTGTTATCACGCTTAAGATCTGCACAAGAAAGAAAGGAAGATCCTTCTCACATGAACAGAGGGCTCTTTGTTGAGTTACGGTGAACTTGTAAAAACTTTTAGTTGTGTGTCTGAGAAATATCTACCCATCACTGCAACGTGGCCGCAGCTGTCGTTAGTTACATGCAGACTGAACTGAAATCACCATGATGCCCTTCCTTACTTTAATTATTTTCCACAATAATTTGAAAGGAAAAATCTTTACTTAACTATAATCCACATGAAGGATAAATCTTTACTTAACTGTAATCACCATGATTGTTCTTATACATTAAGATTTACAAAATTACTCTATTGTCTTGAAACAAAAATGGGTATCCTTGGAATGGAACCAAAATAATTTGGGAAGCAGATAGTTAAAATCAGGATTTTAAATATCAAAATCCGAATAAAACCCAAAAAACAAAGCCAGTGGGGCAATAGGAACATTCCCCTCATGTCGGTGGAGAGAATACAAATGACTTGTTTACTGGGAAAAGGGTAGGTTCCTCTCTGGTTCTTGTTGTTTGTCCAAAGTATCATGGCCCAACCAGCCACCAAACCTATGCTATTTGCAATATTTTCTATCTCCTATAACAATCACACCAAAATGTGGACCATCCCTTTTTTTGTAGTATAAATCTTTGCCATTAGGTGGCAAAGGTTATATGGCAAAGATTTATAATCGTCATGAAAATGTGTCAATATTTTTAAATTAAGATTTTGCGACAATGGTTTTGATTAAAATTTGGATTTTGGAGTCAGCAAAACTATGATATTTTAATCTATTAGCCTTCACAGTCGTACTTTCATTTACTGCAAATCTTGAAATAGGAAGATTTTTTTTTTTAAAGAATGATGTAATCATTTTCTTCATTAGTAATATTAGTAGATTTATTATTGAATGAATCAAATGATCGATAGATTTAATAGAATAAAAATGCCATAAATCTAAACTCAGAGACCCAATCTTCTCGTCGCCAATAAGCTCTTGCCATGTCTTTCCCTCGTAGGCTCCCTTTTCACCAATTCACTTCCCCGAAAAACCTCCTCACCACCATCAGTAAAGGGTGGTACCCTGAAACATGGCTGCCTTTGCAAGCATTGAGATGTCATCATGAGTGCGAAAAATCATGTCTTGGAACAAGTGAAATGACATTGTAGTGGTTACTAGATTGACGATTTGAGAGAGAACTTACGAGGGTACTCTTTAGAAATCAAAGAACTTGAAACAAGTTCGCAGGCCAAATTCAACGGAAGAGTAAAAACGAGAACAGAATTAACAACAGAAATCATCAAAAATAAAAGATCAAAGCTCAAAATTTAACAACTCCAATTGGCATTGACATTAAAATTTCAATAGGATATGAAGATAAAAATAATATATTAATACTCATAAATTATTTAAATTTAATTCAAATAAAATTTAAATTTAATTTAAATATTATTGAATCAAATATAAATTTAATTAATTTAATTTAATAATTAAATTAAATTTAAATATTTTTATACTCAATTCAAATAATTTATAATTCTAATCAAATTTTTATATTTTATTATTTTAATTAATAAAATATATTAAATTTAAATACAAATGATCGAATTTTTATTAAATATAAAAATTAAAATTTTTTATATATTTAATAAATATAATTAAATAAATTTAAATTAAACTCAAATTAAAAAATTAATTTAAATTTAAATTTAATATTACATCAACTCAAACTCATTTAATAACAAATCAAAGTTTAGACATGGCTCAACCTCCCTTTAGTCTTCTTTACGAAACTTAATCGAATTTGCTTTAAGGCGTCTCCTCTTCCTAGCCATTTTCTCATGAAGAGTCTCCCTCTTTTTCTCCTTCTTCACCGCTTTGGTTTTCTTCATGTATCTTACATCCACCCTATACGGCTTAGGTTCCACAGGCACGCCGTTTCTCAGCGCTTCATTATAAAGAGCATTTCTTTATCAAGCCGATTATGAGCACACCATTTCCCCATTAACAGACCATAAGTCTTGATCCCAGGTTTACATCCATCCGCCTTCATCTTCTTAAAAACAAACATGGCATGATTAACCCTCTCAATCCCACACAAAATCTTCAAAAAGCCATAATATTCGTTCTTACCAAGCTTATCACCAAAGCCAGCAGACTTCATCCAATCAATCATCTCATCACCTTCCCCAACTCGTGCAGCCTCATACAAACTCCTGATCAAATCAAATAACTTTCTGCGTCTGGATAACACCCCCAATCACCCATTCTATAAAACAACTTCATTGCATCCTCTGTTTTCCTAATCTTACAAAGATTACTCATCAACACATTAAAGGTCTCCACATTTCTTGGGACACCGTATAATTCCATATCAAGCAAAACTTTCTCAGCTTCCAAATGAAGTCGAAATGGATCTTTTTGCCTACAAAGCGTACAAACACAGTCAAGCATTGCGTTATACGCCATTATACCAATCTCAAAACCTTCCCTATACATTTCCCCAGCCAATCTTTTTGCTTCTTCAAGCATCAAATCGACACGCCATCCTTTGATTAATAAATCACATATCATTTCGTCCGGGCATATCTCATTGGCCGAGTCTTTCACCATTTTCTCCGCACAACTCGCATACCCATTTTCACACAACTTCTCTACTATCAATCTTAGTGATTCTTTATCTCTTTTGAACCCATAATTCTTCTCCATTCTCTCGAAAAACCCCAGAACTTGGGTGGGCCTGCCAGCACGAACCAGCCTATCAATGGAGGACTTGAGAGTTTTCGGCACGGCAACAGACTTGTTATTGACAAGGAGATCATGGGCAGCTTTGAAATCTTTTCTTTGACCGAAATAATCGATGAAACACGACAGCGTTTCGTCGGTGTGTTTGAAATCAGGATCTAAGAGAATCCAATCGTTAAACCCTAAAACAGTACCATCAGCTTCAGGGGCTATATTGAGGGTTTGGGTGATTAACAAAGGGGTTGGTTTGATGTGAGAGAAGTGGAGCTGGAGTCTTTGGGTGATCGCGAGAGGGTCTGAATTAGGGTCCTTGAGGAGTTCAATGGAAAGAGATTGAGCCATCGGATATGGGTTTTGGAGATTAGGATTTTGGGTTGAGGTAGGGGTAAAAAGGGGTTTTAGATAGAGGAGAGCATGTGACTGAACGGGAGACGGAGAAGCGAGGCAATGGTGAAGGAGCCGACGGAGTTGCCGAGAGCTTAACGACGGCAATTTTTTTATAAAGAGAAAATGGGTTTTAGAGAAAAGGAGGACATCGGCCGGAGACAGAGCCCTTTTTTGCAAAATGGTGGAAGACCAGCCCGATCTAGTGACCTAAACTGGACCTAACTGAGTCTGGCGTCACATCCAGCAGCCCAGATTGTTTTTAGATGGGCTTCATTGTTGAGTAGGACCTTTGTTTTTGAGTAGGGATGTCAACGAGTTTACCTGTATCTGAACTCAATTATTTATTAATATATTTGAATATTCTTTATTTTTATTATCTGAGTTCTACTCATATAATATAAAAAATACCCGTTAATTACTTAAACTCGTCAAATATTCATTTATGAAGTTAAAGTTTAATAATTTAAAAATCAATTTTAATACATAATGTTTAAATTTTAAATTAATAAACTAAAATTATTTCATAAAAATAAATTGAAGTTAAAAATCTTAATTAAAATATTTAATGATTTAATTTAGTTAAACACTACATTAATAATAAATAATTTATAAATAAAATAAATATAATATTAAAAATACATTATTTATAGTCGAATTTGGATAGTGAGTATCCTAAGATTACTGTCCAAACCCGTTATAGGTAATAATTTTACGATCCAAGTCTTGCATAAACCCTATTATAAGATATTTTTATCCTATTTAATTGAGTTGGGTAATTCTGGATATCTGTATATAGGATTCCATTACCATCCATAGTTTTGAGCCTATGGGTACTATTTAAGGGTGCATTATGGATCTAATACGAGGTTTAATCAGATCTGATAATTTATATTATTATATTGTATAAAATATTATATGTATGTCATATTTTATATAAAAATTACATGTCATAATTTATATTTATATAAAATTATAAAATATAATTTTTTATTTTTTTATTTAGTTATAATTTTTTAAAAATTTTAAATTATATTATTTTCATATTTTTTTATTCATATTATTTTGTTATCGTGTCATCGTGTCATATTTAAAATTATCAATTTTAAGCTTAACCTAATATTTTGGCTTATTAGTTATCTCTTTAAACATATTTATTCTTCAAATTATATCTGATAATAAAAAATACGATATAATAATAAAATATAAATATAATACAAAAAATATAAATATAATACGATTTAAAATTTTAATAATAATTATATATAAATTTAACAAAATAAATAAATATATTTCATAATTTTATATTGATACAACTTATGATTCGTAATTTTTATATAAAATATAATAAAAATATATAAATTTTAATATTTTACATAATATAAATATACTAATTATCATATCTAATCCAAATCCTTTGTTGTGCGTGAAATTTTGTAGGTTTTGTCACACTAGCAAGCAATGAGCTCATGAAGGTAGCATAATAACAGGAGGTTGACTTAATTGTAGAATTGTCCATCCAGTTCAATGATAAATGATTTTGGAGTTTTAGTCTTATCTGTAGCTTTTTTATTGTAACATACACTTTTTTTAATGATTAAAGGAAGAAGAGATTTAAATATTATATTATATACATATAATTATGCATTAATTATTAAATCAAACATTTAAATGCACGATGCATCGTATTTTAATTTGAAAAATTAAATAATTTTTTTGTAAATTTTTGAATATTATGTGATGCCATTAGCGTAATAACTATCTATGCATTTTTAACCTTTTGCTGTAAAATAAAGGTAAGCCATTGCTTGATGTATATAGTTGCCCTTGTCTTGAGTTAATTGAGTTATTAAGTTGGAGTATTTCATTAATAAGATTTAAATTAAAATTTTGTTATTAGTAGAGTTGACATCGGATCGAATTCGAGATAAGTTTTATTCGCTCCAAACTTGATCATATTCAATTTTTTTTTATTTTTTCATACTTGAATCAATTTTGATTCTGATCCGATTTGATTTAAAATTAATAAAATATTATTTTTTTAAATATAAAATATTAATTTTTAAATATAAATGTTTAAAAATATCATTATATAAATATATATAAATAAAAATTTAAAAAATTAATTAAAAAATAATTTTTTATATAATATCGAGTCGAATCGGATCAGGTTTGCCTAAAACTCGATCTTGATCCGATCTTGATTGTTTCCTAACATTATCCGAATCGATCCGAAATTCGAATTAAAAAAAAAAAAAACCTCATAGGATCGGGTTGGAATCCGTCGGAGACGAATTAGATTACCGACTCTAGTTATTAGTAATCTCTCGATAATTTATTAATTTAATATAAATTTTTTCTTAAACTTGCAATTTACTCAAATTCTGAAATAGAAAAACTGCATCTCACCCCTAGTCTTTTATACACCAAAAATAAGTTACCCTTTGTTTCTTGCCTTTGCTTCAACCTGTTAATGCACAAATTATGTCTGGTTTACCTGACTTGTAATCACTGCTGCATTTTCGTGATGTCCCTTTGTTTCTTCAAGGCTCCATTGTAGCAAAGTGGGAACCTGTCTCATCGATGACGTCGTTTTATGTTTGAACCTTGTGGTGTAATAGAAGTTTCTGTCATGATGTGATGACGTTGATGGAAGTTTCCCACTATGATGTCAAAATAACGTAAATCTATCAATCACCGAGATAATTTCCGTCCAAGGCACAATGATTTTAGCTTGAAATGGCTCATTTGAAATTAAAATTTTAGATGATTGTTTAATTAAAGATCTTAATTTTAATTTAATTTAATGTATATAATATTTTTAAATTTGTTTAAATAAAGATTAAATTATAACTATAGCTTATATGCGTTTTTAAGTATATTTTCCGTTAATATTTTTTATTAATATCATTAATTTTAACAAAATAAAAACATAAAAATTAAAAAGGTAGGAAGCAAAATTAAACACAACAATTAATTTTAAACAATCAAGCAAGAAAGTTCGTTAACAGTTGCAATTCACAATCAAAAGCAGTTGAAAAGCTAGAAATTTAGATAAATTTTTTGAATCTTTGAAGGGTAAAAAAATACATAGCAAATCAATTGTTCTGAAAAAATTTTTGGGTTAAATTTTTTTTTATTAGATAATTAACAAAGTAAATTCATCAACAAAATTAACAATAAACAATTAGCCTCAAATGAGTAATTGATTTAATAAGAGGGTTTCAATACACAAAAGCAACTACAACAGCAAGATTCTAAAATTTATCAACTAAAGGTTTTTTTAGGTTTGATTCATTTTGAAAAATTTTCAACAAGGGCTTTTTCTAGGTTTTATTCTTTTTTGAAAATTTTTTGGGTTTGAATTTTTTGAAAATTTTTCAGTAAGGCTTTTCAGCCTGATTTTTTCAAAATTTTTTTAATTTTTAAACAGAGTTAAAAAAAAAAAAGAGGTACTGATCAATTGATGGCATATTGAACGACGAATGACGTTAGATTCTAGCAATAAAATTTCATGATTTTTGAATTCTTCATTTTTTTTTATCGTAGTTGAATTTTGATTTAGGGATTTAAAGAGATAATAACACGGAATAGGGGTTGAACCAAAAATTTTGATTTCAGTCACGAATAAGCTATACTGTTGATGAAAAACGAAAATCGACGTGGGTCATTAGCAACCAGATCGATAATGAAAAATACTAATTTCTAGGTGTTTGTTCTTCGGTTAAAAAGAACGTAGAGAAGGTAGGGTTTACTTAAAAAGAGAAGACGAAAAATATAGAATTTTTAGTTATTTTTACTATTCATTATATTATAAAATTGTGATTTACGTTTTTTTATGCACGTGTAAAGCTACAATAGTAATAATAGGCATTATTTGAATAAATTATAAAATATTATATCTTATATTAAATAAAATTAAAGTTAAAATCTCTAATTAAAAATTACACAAATGTTAAATTTTTAATTAAGCATTTAGCCGCTTATAATATAGTAAGAATGCTTCTGAGGCCTTGGAGGGAGTACTTTTCTTACCCTTTCCACTGGCTTGGAGCCGATGGGGCGGTTGGCATGGTAAATGCTGTAAAAGAAATTGTTGCAGTAAATATGATTGAGACATACTAATGGTAGATATTTGATTTAATTGGTAAATATCTTTTTTCTGTTATTAAAATTGTAAGTTTGAATTCTGTGAATAATTTTTTAATAAAATTATTTCGAATATAATTATAAATATTTACAATTATCTTAAAAAATTTATTCTAAAAAATAAGATTGAGATATGCTAATGGTAGATACCTACAATAAATAGGATTGACAATTCAATTTGAGCTTATCAGATTTCAGACTCGATTTAATTTTATAAGATTAATTTATTTTTAAATTGAATTTTGAGTTTGATCGGATCAGATATTATTAACAAAAAATGAGATTTGAGTTTTAAGTAAATTCGATCCCACTTGATATTATATTAAAAATTATTTTTTAAATTTTAATTTATATATAATTATATATTTATATTTAAAAATAATATTTTATATTTAAAAATAATATTTTATTAATTTTGAATTTAATTGAATACGATATATATTATATTGGATCAAATTAGATAAAATTTAAATTTAAAATAATAAAAATTTTTAAATTGAATCAAATTTAAATTTTATAGTTATAAAATAAAATCAAACTTAAAACGAGCAAAAACTCGCTCTATTGCCAACCTTAATAAATTAGCTTAATTGATAAGAATATTTTTTTATATAAAAATTTTGAGTTTAAATTTAATTAATAATTTTTTATTAAAATTATTTTAAATATATAATTTATAAATATTATTTTTTAATTATCGAATATGATATATTTATTTGAAAAAAAAAACGCTAATGACAGATGGCTGAAAACAAAAACCGGTTGTCCATAGGGGAACAGGCTACAAAGTTTTGTCTTTGACAGGGCCTAGTTCTGTTGCGTCTGACAATCTAATGCAGCTGGTTTGACTCACCAATTGAAAAAGGAAAATAAAAAAAAAAAAAAAGTTTCGAAAGTAGATTTCAACTGTTAAATTAAATGTTAAGCTTGGAATGGAATCTGCTATTGCCTGTCTTTCACATCAACTATAAATTCAACTTTCTAATATTAATCACTGGTCTGCCACTTAGCTCCGTTTCTTGTAGTGTAGTTTTTTTTGGGTTAAATAATGTCGAATTTTGATTTAATCTGATTTTATAAATTTTTTAAAAAAAAATTATTTTAGGGTTGTTTTTTAAATAAAATTAAGATTGAGTTTGAAATAAATTCAATTTGATTTGATATATATAAATTTTTTTTATTATTTATTTAATTATATATATATTATACTAATAAAAATATTATATAATATTTTTATTTAAGATATTAATTTAACAAAAATATTATATTTATACATAATTAAATATAAATTATATTAAAAATAATATTATTTTATAAATATTATATTAAATTAAAATTATCAAATTAATTTATAAAAAAAACCTGCATAGCAGTTACACTTTTTTTTTTTATCATTCCTTAAAATGTGCTTAGTTCTTCTTATTTGTTCATTCTTAGCTTTTTCTTTTTTATTTGTTCCCCTTTTTTTCTTATATTTAGAAACATGCTTTGTGGTTTTTTTTTTTTTCCAACGAAAAATTAATTTATTATCAAAATTCATAATCAAAATTTAAAGTCAAGATTTTCGAAAACTTTTAAAGGTTTTAAAAAAAAACTTTTAAAAACTTTCGAAAATAAAATTTTGAAAGGTATTAAAGGTTTTTGACATTTATTTTAAAAAATTTTTAAAAATTTATTATAAAAAATTTTGAATTGTATTTAAATATTTTAACATGAAATTTTATGAAATTAAATATAAAATTAAATTAAAAAATAAAAAAATAAATGATTTACTTTTGATTTTATATTTTTTTAATTTTAAATGAATGAAAATTTTTTTAATTTGATTTGATTGAAGCTTAAAATTAATTGAAAAAAAAAGACAAGAGATAAAATGCGAGAGAAAAGGATATGAAATATTTGAGTTTTTGATAAATTTGTGTCTCGAATATGAAGTGTATTAAATAAAAAATAAAATATTTAAAATAAAAAAATGTATTAAGTAATTGTTAGATGCAAATAAAAACTATTTTTTATATATATAAATCCAATGAATTCACCATCCAAACTTTCAACAAACCCTACTCTAACCAGCCCAAAAAAACAGTTAGTCTAGAATTACATTAAAGCTACATGTTGCTTTGGCTCTTTCTTTGGTCAGACAGCCTTACAAAAAATCTTTTGCTGTCTGAGAAGAAAATTTTATTTTCCAGACAGTTTAGGCGCATCAAAATGTTGCAGTGTTCCATCACTTTCAGCCGCCTATTTATTACAATTTGTTCCTAAACCACCTTAGAAAAACTGACAAATCAAATGCCCTTTTTTTTTTAATTAAAATTTAAAATAAATAAATTTTTTAATTTTTTAAATCAAAATAAAATATATTATATTTAATAATTTAAAATAAATTATTGTAATTTATATATTTAAAATAATCTTAACAAATGATAACTGATAAAATTTAAATTCAAAATTTTTTCGAAAAAAATATATATAAACAATTAAATTAATCATTTATTGATACCTTTCTTTCGTTTAATTTTTTATTTTTGCTTTTAATTTTTTCAATTAGATATGAATTATTTGTGTATTTATATATTATAAAATATTAAAATTTATATATTTATTTATATTTTATTTAAAAATAATGTATTATAATTTATATTGATATAAAAATATAAAATATATATTTTTATTTTATTAATTATATATAAAATTATTATTTAAATTTTAAATCATATTATTTTTATATTTTTATATCATATTTATATTATATCATTATATTATATTTTAAAATTTTAAATCAATTTCAAATCTCAAGCAAACTACAATGAGAGATATACCTACAAAAATATTTTTTAAGTTTTTTTTTTTTGGTTTGCTCTTTAGATATTTTATAATAAATAAATAATTTGAGAGAAATTTTTTCAAGTTTTATGTTATGAATATATTTTTTAATTAATAAAAAAATTATTTCATCTATCATTTTTGTTATTAATTTCACCAAAGGCCCAAAAGCCAGATGATGGGCCCATGCAAGGTTGTTAAGATCAAGGCCTCTTTCTTTTAGCCACGTGTCAAACACAACCTGAGACACTTTCATGGTCCTACATAGAATGACATTTGTCGACAAGGCCTGTTTCCAGTTTCCATGTAAAGCCCATCAGATTCCTCCCTCTCTCTACAGTTCTAAAATTTCTAATCCCTCTTTTCAATTAAATCCCATTTTCCTAAAAATTTTCTAAAAAATTTAGGAATCAGACAATTTTCTTTTTAATATAATTTTTTATATTTCATTTTATTTCTTTGCATGAACTCCAAATCCACTCAAAGTCTCAAATCCCCAAACCAAAAAAAAAAAATAAAATCTTACCCTCTCTTTTTCTTCAAAGATTGTAACTTTCCTTTACTTTCCCACTGAAAATTTTTTCATTTTTCCCAGAAAAAGAGAAGAAAAATGAGGTGGGAAAAGGTTCAGCTTTACCAACAAGAAGTTGGAGGTGTGGGAGGAGCATGTCCAGGGCCAGGCAAAAGATGGGGACATACATGTAACTCCATTAAAGGAGGCGGACTTCTCTATGTTTTTGGTGGTTATGGCAAAGATAACTGTCAAACCAATCAAGTTCATGTCTTTGACACTGGTGGGTCTCTCTTTTTAAAATCTGGGTTTCTTTTCTTTTCTATTTTTATCTCTCGTTTCATCTTTACGTGAAAATTTTGAGGTTTACAATGTGTCTTTTGCTTGGCATTTGAGATACAATTTGGATTTTGAATGCGTTAATATATATATATATATTCTTATTTTATTTTTTGGGTGGAAATGTTTTTGAAGTTATTTTGAGGGTTTTTATTGGGTTTATTGTGTTACAATTTTTCTTCTTTTGAGGGTTGTTGGTCTAGCATTAATGCTTTGTTAAGTGCTTGATTTAGCATTTATTGTTGGTATTAATGATTCTATGTTTCTGCTACTCAAAGGTTGTTGGGTAGCTTTTTGCCTATGCATACTTGTAGTTATTTCTGGACCAGCACAAACATTTTATTGCTTCCATTTTGTTTTGTTTTAGAAAACTTATATGATTTTATTGTTGTTCACATGCTTTTGGAACCATTTGCCCCATATAACAGGTTATTCCTTGTTTATCTATTCTAGCTAATTTCTTGTATCTATCTTTTCCTACTCGAATTGTTTTGAATACTATTTATTATGATCTTATGAGTTCATGTGGAGGTTCTTTAATCACCCTCTTGTATTTCCTACATCGCAAATTTGCAGCTAAGCAGACATGGAGCCAACCGGTAATGAAAGGCACACCGCCAACTCCAAGAGACAGCCATAGTTGTACTACTGTTGGTGACAATCTATTTGTTTTTGGTGGTACTGATGGGATGAACCCTCTCAAGGATCTACATATATTAGAAACTGGTGACTTATTCCCTGCCTTTTGTTTTCATTGATTCACCTTTCATAAACCATTTTTGGAATTAGCTTTTATTTTTTCAATTCTATGCCAAATATCATTTCACCTGCATGGGTGAAAAAAGAATCAATTGTATGAAATAATTATTATTTTACTGTTATATAATTAAAAATGAAAATTTATATTTTTGAAGTGGGGGAGAAATGGTGAAAGACGTAAGGGCAATTACTAGATGGCTGTTGAAGCAATAGGAGGAAGTTATAATTTATTTTTCTTTTATGTTTCTTTTAAGTATGAAGTTGGCATTATCCTTTGTCTTATAGTTTTTGCGTGGAAATGAAATTAGGTGGTTTGTGGTTTATTTTGGAATATTTCTGCCAAAAATCATCCCTGAAAACCATCAGAGGACTCCTTTAATTAATATTAAAGAATACATAAATTCATTGCATGTTTATGTTGCAGCCACGCATACATGGATTTGTCCAAGTGTAAGAGGTGAAGGGCCAGAGCCACGTGAGGGTCACAGTGCAGCTCTTGTTGGTAAACGGCTCTTCATATTTGGTGGTTGCGGAAAATCTTCTGATAACAATGATGAAATATATTACAATGATCTGTATATTTTAAATACAGGTAAACATCTTGACAATGGTTTGTTACTTATTGCTTTGATTAAGTTTGGTTTGATTAATTGATCTCAATTTCTAATTTGACCATAGAGGGGTAGAAAAGGAGAGGAGAATCTCTAGAAAAATGTATGCATTCTTAGGAATTCTTTGTGTTCATCTAAGAAGCCGAACTTAGTTGTGTTTTATATCTCTTTTGCTTTGAAAATGTCTTGAAGAGCTTAGGCTGAAGGACGTGTTATTCTGACTTCTTCTTCTTTTTTTGGGTTTTATATTTGTTCTTGATTTTTCCCCTTTCTGCTTGTAGAGACCTTTGTCTGGAAACATGCAGCAACATCAGGAAACCCACCATCTGCCCGTGACAGCCATACTTGCTCATCTTGGAAGAATAAAATTATTGTGATTGGTGGCGAAGATGGGCATGATTACTATTTGTCTGATGTCCATATCCTTGATGCAGGTTTCATCATTCTTCTTTTTTTTGTTTTTGAAATGAATTCCATACATTTATGTGTTCTTCTATGTATGCGTGTATGTCTTTGGTTGTTTTAGTTACATAGGATATCTAACTTTTTATATATTTTATATGTAAGGAACAGTTCATAGCTTGACAATATATGAATCTAAGTTTATGTGCTGCTTTTAATATTTTTCTTGGAATTTTCTTATTTTTTCTAGATACTCTTGCATGGAAAGAGTTGAATACCTCGGGTCAGATGTTGCCACCTCGTGCTGGCCACTCCACTGTTGCTTTTGGCAAGAACCTATTTGTTTTTGGGGGATTTACAGATGCTCAAAATCTTTATGACGATCTCTACATGCTTGATGTTGGTATGCTTTACGTAATTGCTGATCATGTTGTCATCTTCAATCAAACTTTTTTTTTCTTGACATCGTCATAGTGTAGTCTTTGTTTGTGAATCTAAGTTTAAAGTTGTGGGACTAGCATTAACAGGCTTATTGCGCTCTAAGATGGAAGCTTCTTTGACTTACTGTTTACCAAATTTCATCTAAACCCCAATTTAGAATTTGTACCTATGTTCTTGACTACCTTAACAGGGTGGACATTGGGTCATAGAAAGTTGTTTCTTTACATACCTAGAAGTCTTGAAAAAAAAAAAAAAAAACTTAAAAGGGTGTGCTTGGATGAGGGATTTTGAAATTTCAAAGAATTTTGGAATGCTAGCATTTTGAAATGTATCATTCAAAATAATAGAATTTTTAATTATAATGTTTGGATAATTATTTTTTAAAAAGGAATTTTAAATATTGGAGTTTGATGAGATAAAAAAATAATTATAATAGATAAATAATGATATTAGAGATAGAAAGAGCAAAATACTAAAAAAATATATGTAATATGGGTCTCATTAGATTTGTAAAAATGTGTATATATTACTAACAATATGAAAAATAAAAAAAAAAAAAATTTTATAATGAGTTTTTGTAGTTAAAATTAAAAAGAAAGCAAAAGTTGCATAAAAAAAGAAAACATAGTAAATGTTGACTTCTTACTATAAAACAAAGAAATTTCACAAATTCCACCTCTTTGGGTGGAATTTGAAAGGAGAATTTGAGTCCTCCAAAATTCCTCTTTCAAATTCCTTGACAATTTCAATTTTTATTTTGTCAAACAAGGTATTTTTATTTTAGAATTTTAAAAATCTCTCTGCAAATGAAATCCCTCCTTAAAATCTCTCATCCAAACGCACCCTAATAGTCAAGTTCTTAGTGTAAGTTCAGTTTCCTTATTTTCTTTTTTTTGTATGAGAATCAATAGACTGATTATATGTTTTCTTATATAACTGTGTGTGTTTCATATAGTTCTGCAATTGACAATGCACAATGCTTGGAAGTGAATCATGGTTTACTAGTTATTTTAATCTGTATTTATTTTTCTTTCCCTGTAGCCTGAAAGGGTTGATAGCTGATGAAATAATATTACAAGTGTGGTTAGTTGTTCATATTTTATGCTTCCCTCCATTGGTGCAGATATGGGCATGTGGACCAGGGTGATAACTATAGGTGATGGCCCGTCTGCTAGATTTTCTGTTGCAGGGGATTGTTTGGATCCCCTGAAGAGTGGTGTTCTTGTGTTCATTGGTGGCTGCAATAAGACTCTTGAAGCACTGGGTGACATGTATTACTTGTACACAGGTTCAATCTAGATATTCCATTTGCCTTGAATTAGAAAAACATTACCTGCTTGGCTGCTTTTTATGTGTGATTTGGTCTCTGAAACTCTGTAAATCTTTTAGTCAACCTTCTGCTGAGTTTATAATAGTGATTAATTTGACTCCCAGGACTTGTACGGGATGAAAGGAAGCTAGAGAAATTATCCCTGCGAAAGCAGTTGAAGCTAAAGTGTCAGGAGAAAAATCTTAGTAATCTTTTACATGATAAAGCTCTTGTTGGAATTGAAGTCAGCAATGATATGCAGCAACCTGTTCCTTTATCTAGCTATGCTCAACCAAGTAAGAACTGTTTTGCTCACTTTCTTATTGATTCTCTTATTTCATGCCCCTCTATGTAACTCTTTCAAGTTATGTTCTTTAAGGTCCTCTTAACATCTGTCATTTTCAATTTCTTAGTCTTATTTATGTCACTAAGCCCTCAACATTCCCTTTCTAACACAGACACAAAAAAATTAATGTTGTGAACTACGAATTTGCTTCTTGGCCAAAAAAAAAAAAAAAAAAAGAACTACGAATGTGCTTTTTTGTGATTGGTTATTGCATCTTGCTTGATTTTCCTCCCTAATGATAGAGAAGGTGAAAAGACTTTCAGTGCTTGTTACTTCTGTTTTGTGCTATACTATGCATCGGTGGTGAAATGTTATTGGAGACCTAATCTAAACTATAGTCTCAATTTAACAATTTATTAGTTTTTAAGTGAGTAAACAGCTAAAAGAATGTTTCCACATTATTATGATCTAACTTTTGAAAAGTGTTATCATCTGTGCTCTTGTACTACTGTCAAATTCTGCAGGAAGAGAGAATTTTCCATTAAACCAAATCCTACTTCAAGGAAAGAAGACATTTCAAGCTAAGGTTACTGAGAGCTTTCCAAATGGATATTCCATTGAGACTGTTATAGAAGGGAAGCCTCTTCGAGGAATACTTTTTGCAAACAAGCCGAGCTCTGTCCATGTAGCTAATTATAATCCCAGCAGGTAAGAAATTCTTGCTGCATCCTTTCTTTAATCAGCATTGGTCATGGTAGCAGCATTTTTTGAGATAATTCTGGTTTGTCTACAAGCATCAGTTGCTGTATAAATTACTTCTGAGATACTTTTGGTTTGTCTTAATATTATGTACTCATTTCAGAAAAAGGACTTCTGTTGAAGTTAGGGATACTGCATCAAATGGTGATTGCAATAGTAAATCAAGATCTTCAAGAAGTATGAGCCAGGATTGTGGAGATCATAAACAAGCTGATGTTCGGGAGAAGGATTCTTCATTGCATGAGACAGAAGCTCCCGCTCCAAGTTCAAGGAATCTGGCACCTTCTGGTCTTTCAACCGATAAGGTTCATACCTTCTTCCTTTCTGTTTGGTCAACTAAAACTTGCACAAGAAACATAATTTGGCTTCCCTTTAACCAGCCAACATCCTAGAATTTCTGTCAAATTTTGGATGACTATTATGCAATTTACAACCATCAAGTTGCTACTTGTCATTCCAGTTTGGCTACTGAAGTCTGGAACTATTGAATTCATTGTTCATGCTTGTGCTTATCACTTTTTCTCCTGTTTCCATTGGCTCTTCTTTCTTGCATTCACTCACAACTGACATTGCTAAAGCAGTTAGGCTTTTCAATAATCAATGTACTATATTTAGTTTCTCTAAGGGCTTCAAGATGTTACACATTTATAGCCATTCATCATGTGATTTGTTAGTCAGTCGGATGGTCTCCCAGCAAACACCAAATGAGTTGTTGATTGCATATGTTAAGTATGATATGACAAGTTTGTTTTGTTTGGGTGTTTGGCAGGACCCCGTAAAACAAGAACCATCTGTAGCTCCTTTGAATTTAAACAATGATAAGACATGTGATGCACCAAACTCTGGCCGTGAAACTCTGAAAGGGATTGGATCCACGAGGGCTGGTTACTCTGTGAGCTTATCTCCAAAGCAAGGTATGAATAAATGTAGGAATCATTTAATTTACAGCCAATTGTAATGGCTTCTGGATATGCAGAACGCAAAAATCACTTTCCTTTTTCTTTTCATTGCATTGCATCTGTAATTCTTTGCAGCTAAGAGCAGCTGGCTTTTAAGTTCTTGTATTTTAATCAAAGCTTTAAGACTGGATCATTTAAGGCTTGCTAAGTTTATGGTATTGAGTGACTTTTCTCTATTGACATGCCCAAATTATGCAAGTAAGAGTTTGCAGAAGCAAAACAAATTTTTCTCTCAAGATACATGTTTTAACTTAATATAATAGTAGTTTTATCGAAACTTATTTGACTTTGTTATTACATATTTTAAGGTAGTTCATCTTCTGATGAACACAAATTCTTCTGGCAGATGAGAGGAGACCAAACACCTTGGAACTTAACAATCCCGAAAAATCATTATGACCGGTGAACAATCTTTAACTCCATGGGTGATGACTACTCGAACATAACAAAATGTGCAAGCCATGTGTATATTTGTTGCTTCAAGGTGGTTACAGGCTATAGATTCATGACTGATGTATACTGAATCTGCTTTCCTACTAACTGGTGATCAGCCACCCACTATCACTCTTCTTTTTGCTAACAACTGATATCCATTTATCTGAGCTCTTATCTTGAAATTAATGATTGACTTTAGCTGAATGCAGTAGTTTTGTTTAGCACTGGTGATATCATGATTAATTATCTGCTTCGGTTTGAGCTGGTTCCATCAATGAGGAAAAGTAATGATGCAGTTAGTTTCAGCAGAATGCATCACACCAATGATTCTGTTTGCATTAGTTGTGAAGAAACCTTGTTCTTTTTTCGACATACGATGTGGAGGATGTTGATTCTATCAGAGAACTAACGTAGTTTCGGGTCGAATTATTTTGATGTATGTAAACGTTTTATTTCTACCTTTTTCTCTCAAACGATGTTGGAAATGATCAGTTTTCATTTTATGGTAATCCAAATGGTTTTCCCTTTCATTTGTGTAACAAAGCTGAGCAGACAGAAACATGCCTTTTTTCAGGGCATTTGGCATCCATTGACAAACAGAACCCAGCTTCCTGAAGTTGGGGATGGTTGATGGAACCGGATACTGATGTTTTCTCATCATTTCCTGCTTAGTTGCTACTTTTTTTATAGCATGATGCATGGCATGGATGACTAAATAGGATGGCAAAGAGAAATGGCAACAGTCTTTGCTTGTTACCCTTATTGTCAAGGTGTTTTTTTTTTTTTTTTTTAAATTAATCTTTTTTAGGCAAAATACATTCTAAGTTAATTTCTTAAATGTCTTACAATTTGAGGTTTAAAAAGTTTTTTTTTTCTTAAAATTAGAAGTTTGAAGAAATAACAGACTAGAGGGGCAGAAAATAATTATAAACTCAAGATAATTATTATTTTTTTGGTTTTTACTGCCTATTTAAAACAAAAACATTTATGAGCTTTTATTGCATGCCTTCAATTTTTAACACTTATTTTCAAAAATAAAATCTTAACAAAATGATATTTAATAATACAAAAATATTTTCATAAAAAAAAGCCTTAATAAATGCTTTTACAGCATATGTTAGAAAAATTTTTATTTTTATTTAGATTAATTCCAAAATAAAAGGAGATAACCACCATATTCCTCCAGATCTTTTCATCACTTTCATGTCCTCCTGTATCCATCAAAAGCCCCAAACTTGAGCTTAAGATAGCATGCCCAAGTTTTAATTTCTCATTAAAATTTAAGTATTAGATAATCTCCATGGTACCAGAGGAAGCAAAGTAACAAACAATTACTACAACATAAACTAGTTACATTATATAAATAAAACATGTAATGGAAGGATTAGATAAATTCTGGTCAAACTGACAGTACGCAGCTGATTAGTTTAGGAAGATGATTAATGGGGGAGAGAACCAAACATAATGACTCCAGTGAACCTGCCCAGCGGTATTACATTGCACTACAACTGAAAGCCTCACTTCCCGTTGCCACCAAAGAGGTAATCCAGGGATGAGTTGCCGCCCGGTGCTGCATGAACCTTTGTTGTAGGCCGATCCTGTTTGGAGAAACTTATCATAGTGTTTAGTGTGGCCGCTTGAAAGGCAAAAGATATATTGCAACTTAGGGTAGGGGTATGGGGTGAAAATAAGAAGCACTCAAACATGTCAAAACGTGAAGGATGAATGTTAATTGAATACATGCATGAAGGTACATTCAAATGATTGTACCAGCAAATTTATCTCCTATAATTCACATGATACTGATATACATGCAAAGGTTTCACTTGATCATCAGACAGCTACTAAGCTATGGCTTATGTTCTATTACAAGATTAGCAGCCCCCTAAATTGCAGACAAAGAAAGGAAAGTTGATGTAAAGTTGTCAATTCCCTAAACCAAGCTGCAGAAGTTAGCAATAAAGAGAGGTTAACCTCCCAACAAGAGAATGATTCAAAACTCTGAGAAGGAAAAGGAAATGCTCTCACAAAATCCCAACATATTATTTCCTAATCCAAATCAAAGATCATCTACAAGCTTCAGCAAAATTAACAACATTTATGTTAGGATTATAATTATATACATGGTAGACAATAGTTGCCGACAAAACAAATCATTCATGACAAAGTTTTTCATCAATGCTTCTATGTCACAGCTTTACAGGTTGCTTACAACATTTGTCATTGATAAAAAATTGTCAAGAGATGAACTCTAAAAGATCTAAGAATCTCTGGCAGGGATAAAAAGAACTTAGGAGGCCTCTAACTTCCACTGTTCATGATGCAGACAAGACAGGTTAAATTTATGTCACTTTTTTTCTTTTCCAATTTTAAATCAGAGATAGACAATCATAACAAATTAGCATCATTTATGATGGTGAGTAGATATTAAAGATCATGAAACTTAAGCTTAAAAGTTAATCATCAATTCATTTCAGAGTATGGTGTAGATCAATTTCATACATTTGATCTAACATTGCTAAACTACCATTTAAAGAATACTGTGGCTAGGGTTCTACCGTAAGAAAGTTTCCACAATTCTGGCCATCAGCACGGAAATAGTTGTTTGCATTGTTCCCTGGAACGCCTGCAGGAATCTCCTTATCAACACCTGCAGGTGGTGATGCGGTAGTGGGCTTTTGTGGTGTTTCCTTAGCAACCTCATTCTGTTTCTGAGGAACTTCACTGCTGGTGCCAGTGCTAGTGCCGTTTGTGGTGATGGGTTTCGGACCTTCTCCACTCCCAAACAGGTAACCCAAAGAGCTCTGTCCCCCACCGCTGCTAACTCCACGACCCATGATCTCTAGCTTGAACTTCTACGCAAGTAACTTGTAAAGGAATTCAAATATTCCTGTAAATAATAAAAATATTATAGTTATAAACTCCAAAAGTAAGCATTAATATGTAAAATTTCTCAACTTAATTCCACTATCAAAATTGGAGCAATATTACAGAAACTGAAGAAAAAAACAACGTTTTCTGAAATGAACCAAACAAAACTATAGATTAAGTAAAACCCCACATTTAACTAGAGCTGATAATTTTAGATGTTACACGTTGATATAATACGAAAATAATATGAAAAAAAATAGAAAACTAACATGATTTAAAATTTTAGCAAAAACTATATACAACTTTGGCAAAAAAAAAAAAAAAAAGTATTTTATGTTTAGCATGTTGATACAAATTGTGATATGAAAATTTTCGTATTTTACCCGTGTTAAACACGAAATAAACATAAATACACAAATTATCAGCTTTCCGCCGAATGCAGTAAGATTCCCCCATTTCACGTTGTGAAACCCGGAAAAACATGCAATTTAATAAAGAAAATATATTTTTTTGAACAATCAAGACATAGGTATAGATCATATGAAGATTAAGCAAAAAACCAAAGCCAATCCAAAGCAAGATGGCGAAATATAATCTCACATTGTGCTGGCTTCAGTTTGATGTGAAACTAACAAGAAAATCATCAACAAAAGATGTAAGCCAGACAGCTGCAATTGCATAAATGGAATTTCAAAAACATTATGATTAAGAGAAAATCCACATGCATAACATTTATCATACAATACCCAAAAAAACAAAGAAACAAAATTCAAGCGACCAACTTAATATTTTTACCCAATGTTAGCAGAAACAAGAAAACAGAGTAAAGAAAATTGGGATTTTCTCAGGAAACAAACAGAAAGTATTGATAACAGATTTGGGTTTTTTAAAGTTAGCTTTCTCACCTTGTTTGTTTGGGTGTTCCTCGGATCAGATCTGAACCTCTTAAGCCAACGTTGAAAGAGATAAAAGAGGGGCTTCAAACTTTAAATTACAGGTGGGGCCCCATGTATGTCGGAATTTTTTTCTTTTTTCTTTTCTATTTTTATTTATTTATTGTATTTAGCATTTATTTATGGCTTAATATTCTAATTATTAAAATATACTTTTATTTTAATTATTAAAATATAAACTTAGATTATAAAAAAAAATAAAATAAGAAACTTTTTCTTCATTTTTACGCAGAGACAAACCTCAGAAGAAGAGTGGAGCAGAAAAAATAAAAAAACAAAAGCTTTGATTAGGGTTTGTGAACCTAAAAAAAAAAGCCTTTCATTTCTCGACAAACATGCTTTAAATTCCTAAATATTCCAAATTCTAGGGTTTCTTTGTTTTTCTTCCCTCTCAATTTCGTCTCCCACTTTCAACTGGTAAGCCACCGTTGCTATGATTAATTAATTAATTAATTATTTATTAGTGTTTTCAACTTAGTTACTTCGATGCAGTTTTTTTTTTTTTTTTTTAATTATGTAGTCGTTTTACCTGCTTAATTATTGGTATTTTTGTTTTTTGCTGTTTGGTTGCTGAGAAAGTTGATGGAAATAATGGGAAATACAAAGTTTGAAGTTAGCTTTGTGGAGTTGTCTTATGGTTTTGAATTGAATTCAACATTGATTTTCAATTTGACAACGTGGCATTTGAAGCTTTTTTATTTTTACTGTTTGTTTGACAGTATTGAAGGCATTTGAATTATGTAAGTTAAATTTTTTTTTTTTAATAAAGGACGCAACTTTGAGTTTTGAGTGGAATGATGGTTCGGTTTATATTTTACTTAATAGTTTGGAGATCTTGAAACTGAAAATCAAAAGGATATGCTTGTGAATTTCTTTTTCCATTTTTTTTCTTGTTGGTTCTGGTGAAACACATTTGATTTGGACTGTTTAATCCTTCACTTGATCCGAACAACGCGTTAAGGGAATTCTGAAGTGCAATTCATTGCTTTATAGTGTTATGCTGCTTCAATTTTGGGTTCCTATTCTTTTGTCTGCTTAGAACTGGCTTTTGCTGAGTTATCAGCTTTATATTTTTATATGTTTTCTGATTTGAATGCGATTTATGGTGATTTAGAGGTTTGAGTGGAAGGCTATACCTGTGCTACCTGCTTTTTGTGTTTGGTTTAAGTAATTCAATTGTGAAATGTATACTCAGGGGAATCATAATCCTCAGCCAGCGCAGGGTCCTCAAAAACCCATGTCATCTCCATATCAACAGCGCCCGCCTGGTCCACCCCCTCCTCTACCTCAATTCCAGCAAGGCACTTCTGGCTTTACATCGTATCAGCATGGTCATGCTGCACCTCATCAAATTCCACCTGGTGGGTTGTCAAATTCGGGTCAATCTTATCTACACCCACCAGTGCATGTTCATGCAGGTGCTTCATTGCCACAAATGTATCCAATTGCTCAACAGACCTCACAACATCATTCACATTTAGGGACCCAGAATGCCCATAACATGCCGCAACCGGTGCTTCCTCCTCCTATTAGTGCATTTCACCCAGAGGTTTCACAGGCCCAGCCACCTTTTAGGGCATTACCTCCACCACCACCTCCTCCTCCTCCTCAATCACAAAGGCAAACGTTTTATAGAGCTCCATTGAATCCACCACCTCAGCAGCCAGGACTTCAGCATATCTCATCACATCCACCCCTCCCTACAACAAGTTTCTTCACTTCAGCTCCACTGGGAAGGTTCGTACACTCTACAGGTGGAGACTATCATGTGCTGTCTACCACTCCCCTTCGACCACGACCCCCACCCTCTCCTGCACCGCCTATTCTACCATCTCCTCCACCTCCTACCTCTACTGCTTTTTCATCTTCTAAGCCTGTCCAAAATTCTTCCAACTTGCCCTGTAATTTGAACTCAGATGGCTCTAAGTTTAGTGCTTCAGGTTCTGTGGATGAAGTTGCGGCTCCAAATCAGGTCAAACATAATTTAATTGCAGATAATGGCTCTCTGAATATAGGAGGGGGAAATAGCTGCGACATAGGTTCTGTGGTTGAAGATAAGTGTTCATTACAAGAAGGTTTGACAGTGGATCTTTCTTCCACTCCTCCTAAGCCAACAGATGAAAATGTTATTGAAAGGATTGAAGCTTTATGCCAGGGCATTGCTCAGAATGGTCCTGATTATGAGGTCATGGTTTGTAAAAATGAATCTGGCAAGCCAGAGTATGCATTTTTGTATGGTGGTGAGTCAGGAAGTGAGGCTGCAATAGCACATGACTTTTTCCAGTGGATGAAAAAGAAAACTATTTTAGCATGTAAATTAGATGAACAACAAGGGGGTTCTTCTTTGAGGCCATCAGAAAATAAATCTTCAGAGCAACCCTGCCATTTGATGATTGCAGCTGCATCTCGTTTGCCTGATGATTCTGACATGGAGATGGAAGGTTGGCATTTTTTACTATGATTATGCTTCCTAATGTTCATAATCTTTTTTATTTCTGCTTCCTAATGTTTAGAATCTTTTAAGTTAATGTAAAAAGATTGTCCCTTGTGTGTGTTGTTATGAGCTCCAAAAGAGACCGTACTGATCTTGTTGGGATAGACTTCCTTGGAACTTATTAACGGTCATTTTAAACTCAACAGATCAGAAGTTATATTCTATTAGGGATATCTAAAAATTTTATGTTATGAACTGTTTTCTTAAGTCTATTATCTGATTATCTGTTTACAGTTGCATTCTGATTTTTTTTTTTTATATTTAATTTTCTTTTCTGGTGGGTGATTTCAAGATGATATCACCCAAATTGATGATGACCAAGGAATGAATCACTCGCTCAAAGGCCTGAACAGTCAGTGTGATATCAGTGACAACATGCTTCATGTAGAAGGGCAGTTACATCCACTGCAAATATCAACAGAAAGCAATGCATACAAGGATATTTTATTTGAAAAAGTATCAGCTGCTGGCAGTTCAAGATTGGGTGAAAAAGGTCAATTTAATATCTAGTAATCATATTAAGCCCTTTTTTGGTTATCCTGTTTCTTTCTTTATATAAATTGGTCAGATATAAATACATACTGGCTGATGGCTCCAGAATATGGTTATTAACTAATTTTGTAATATTCCTGAATATTTGTTGACATGTCTTTATCTCTTGTAATTTGCTCGTATCTGTTGTATGTTTAGCGAGTTTCAGAGTTTTTTCCTTCTTAAATTCAGGTCCAGAATGTATAACCAATGCTGACCAAACGACATTTGGGGCATCTGTTTCTCAAGCTAACTTAGTCAAGTTAGCTGTACCTACCGAACAGGCTCTAGGCACTAGTTTGGAGAACTCAAATGCTTCTGATCAACTTGCCAAAGGTGGCAGTCCATTCAGACTTCTACAAGGCTATGCTTCTGATGACAACTCAGCAAAAGATGTTGAGACTGGCATTGAAAATACAAATGTTTCATTTGGTGCTAAGTTGGGTGGAGATGCCGGGTCTAGTTTGGAGAATCCTAGCAGTTCCAGCCAGATTGGAAAGGGCTTTGGACCACTCTCTTTATCAAGCATGCCATGTGCCGTTGTGAGTTCAGAAGTGGTTGAAGACACTATCACAACCTCTATAATAAATGGGAATGAACATGCTGGTAATAAGCATGTACATCAAGTATATGCAAATCATGCTGCTTCTGGGGAGGTTCTCCATAAGGAAAATGTAATCGTTGGTGCTAGTGTTGACAGTGTTAAGTTTAGCAAGGAACATAGGCAAGAGGAAGAAAATGTGACTCTTGGTTCTCAACATAAAGTAGATAAGTTTGGGCGATTGGTCAGGAATGGTGCAAGTGATAGTGACTCTGATGATTTACACTACACTGGGAGGCGTAGAAGGGGAAGAACTCGAAGCAGAAGTCGGAGCCATTCACCTCCAGATAGAAGGAAAAGGAGAAGCCCATGGAGAAGAAGGGAGAAACGAAGCCTATCTCGCAGGTTTTCATTTCTTATTTTTTATCTGTTGATTTATGGCTTGGGGTTTTTGTTTTTTTGTTTATTGTTTTTTTTTTATCTTCCTTACATGGCAATTCTTGTTTATGACCTGTGATAAGTTTTAAATTTCTTTTGTGTTGTTTTAGCTGGTCTCCAAGAAACCGGAGAAGCAGGAGCAGGTCTCCTAAAAATCGGAGAAGCAGGAGCAGGTCTCCTAGAAATTGGAGAAGCAGGAGCAGGTCTCCCAGAAATCGAAGAAGCAGGAGTAGGTCTCCCAATTTTCGGCGTGCAGATGAGTTCAGTGGTGAGAATAAGAGACGAGTGAAGGGACAGATGCCATTCTGTTTTGACTTCCGTCGTGGCAGGTGCTACCGTGGAGTGTCTTGTCGTTATCTGCACCATGATTCTGGCAATAGTGACGAATCAAGGCGGCAAAGGAGCAAACAGTATCTGGAGTTTCCTCATAGTTCTAGGACTAATGTTCATGACCAGAAAAAGCGGATCTCTGAGAAAGTAGATGATCATGAGCATGGTGAAGTGAGGGGCCCAGAAGTGAAACCGTATGGTGATTTTGTCACTTCAAGAGATAGGAATACTAATCAGAAAAGAGATTATTCTATTGGTGGAGGTGTTCATAATCAAGATGGTCAATCAACTGAGTATTGCATGGTTAAATCTGTGAAATCTAGAGACATTCCGACCTCTGCATCTGAAGCGCACTTGGTAGAAAACAAACAGGAAGGGCCTAATCTCGTCTCTAATGAGAATTGTCAAGAAGCAGCGGCAGAATCTCACCATCCATCAAATGTTGATGCCTCATCAGTAGGCGATATTGATGTACTGAAGTCATGTGGTAATGCTTCTCAGAAAATACTTACTTCTTTCAAAAAGTCTGTTGACCAGAAATCTCTATCCAGTCCTTTAAATCCAGTGTGTCAAAATGCTGATTGCCTGCCTCAACAATCAGATAACTCATCTCTATCTGATTCTTCTCTGCATAAAGCATCTACATCCTCACCAAATAGTCTTCGAGCGAGCAATGCTCATCCAAATACAGCGGAGCTTCATAACCATCCTTCTCATATAGCCTCCCCTTCTCTCCCACACTCACACGGTATAGATAATCCATATATGAAACAGCAGCAGACTGCTTCTTCTATGTTTCAATCTTCTTCGGAAAGCTTTCCTTCTTACATGTTACCCAACCAACAGTCTTACTTTTCTCTACAGCCACATTCCTCTGTGACTTCCTTGCCTCCACCGCCACCTTTGCCATCACTTGATTCAACTGTAACTCCTGGTGTTTCTTCACATTTTTGGCATAGTGATTTGCCTCTGAGGAATGATTTTGGTTCCCAGATTATGCCAAGACCTTATCCAACTGAATTGCCTGCACATTCCAAGTCTGATGGGTTTCACCAGAGAGCTTATCTTCCAATTCAGGAAGCAAATCGCCCTTTCTTGCATGTTTCTTTGCCTGTGTGTAACCTGCCTATGCAACAATTTGGAGCTCCAAGTATGTCAGGAGATGATGGTTTAGCACAACCTCCAGTGCAGAATGTTATTGCTTCAAATTCCTTTGCTCAGGGCAACACTCACCCTCATACTATGCCCTTTTCACAACAGTTGCTGGGAAACAAAATGATACCATTTCCCAGTGAGAGTTTGCCACCAGGTGGACTTTCTAACTCATCTTCATATATTCATCCTTATTCACAGCAGCAACAACCACCAGACAGTTCACACTGCCCTGTGGTTGACCGTATTTATAATCTTCATGGGAAGATGAATTCGTCATTAAAAGACCCACCGACATCCCAGCATGTAGATATTGGAGGATCAACTAGTTCAACTTTTCCTAATCCATATGCATCTATTCTTGACCAGCCAATAAATTCCAAATACAGTTCTGATATTATGCATGAAAAAGATACAACCTACAATAAAACACCTTTGATTTTGACTCATCCTCCAGTTGATGGGAGAGTTATTGGTTCACAACAGGCAACTTCCTCATCCATTTCTGCCAGGGACATTGGGCTGAATTTTCCTAGATCAGGTGGTGACCAATATGATCCGCTCTTTGATAGCATTGAGCCATCTACAAGGTTATCCAGAAATTTTGATTATATTCAAAAGTTGGAAGTGACAGGTGACTCTGACATCTTATTGGTACTTAGTGGTTCCAACAAACCATTGGATGTAGAGGAAAACAATAAGAGGAAAGATGCTGGAGCCGTTGCTTCTGCAGCATCTGCAGATAATGAGGAATTTGGTGAGACTGCCGATGCTGAAGTTGGTGCTGTTGAGAATGGAAGCCCAAGTAATCCAGTTGAAGTTAACATGGCTGCTGGTGAGATTGAGATTGATCAGAAAAAGTCTCCAGGGAAGAGCAAGAAGAGCAAAGATTCCAGATCAATGAAGCTTTTCAGGGTTGCCCTTGCAGATTTTGTAAAGGAGGTTTTGAAGCCATCATGGCAACAGGGTAATATGAGCAAGGAGGCTTTTAAGACTATTGTCAAGAAGACTGTTGATAAAGTATCAGGAGCTATGAAGAGCCACCAGATACCCAAATCTCGTGCGAAGATTGATCAATACATTGAGTCATCTCGGCTGAAATTGACGAAACTTGTGATGGTAAATTCTCATTTGGTGCTTTTTTTTCTTGCGGAAATTAACATAGCACGGGGTCATTTTACATAATGTAGGTCTGCAATCAGTGCACACTGAAATTTGTTTGGGTGCATTTTGATATTTGATTTATTTATTTTGGTTGGATTATTTTGCTCTGAGAAACTGTGCTTAGAATCAACTAGAGGCTACCTTATGGCACACATATGTTGCAGTAGACAAGACATAATAATTTTCTGTGAGTACAGTGCCTATTATTGGTGACCAACCTCTTTCCATTAGGCTTCATTCTTGATACTTTCAATGACTTCTCACATTCAATCATGACTGAATTTGGACAGCATAATTCTAGAGTCCAACTGGTTTGTACTTGAGGAAAGGTATGTCCTTAGTATAGGCTGAAAGTGAAGCCTAAGCCCTACAGTAGGTATGGAGCTATTTCTAGCATGCAAGCCACCTAAAAAATCCACTTCTCTCTGGACCAAAAAATAATATAAAAGGAAAAAGTTAAAAGCCCAATGAATCAATACCTTTATTTTCCAGCCATGTCTAATGACTGGTTCTGAGGGGATGCAGTGCATTTGGTTCAGGCATCTATAAAAGTTTAGCCATTTTAGTTACATTAAATTCTTTACTAATCTGTTGGAGAAGTTAAGTTTTGATTTTTTCTTTCGTAAAGTTCCATAGAGCTTAAACCATTGGCTGAAATGTTGATCTGTGCACATCCTTGCATTTTACATGACGTGAGGATGATGCCTTAAATTTTCAATTTCGTAAATTATTTCCCCATCATGTTTTGCAGGGTTATGTCGATAAGTATGTCAAAGTGTAAGATGGTGTCTATTTTGATCCCAGGCATTTTCGCTGGTAAAAATTTTGATTAGACACTCGAGTTTCTTTCCTGCCCTTGAGGTTGAGGACCATATTCCTGTGCCATTGAAGCTTTGAAAAGCACCAATTCTTTTCATTGCAGTGTTTTGAGAAAGGGTGAGAAATCATGAGTTGTTCATGGTAGAAAGCTGGTTTGTATAGTTTGTAATGTTAGCATAAAGGAAAAGTTAAGGTTATGAAAAGGTGATCAAGACGAGATTGTTGATCTGTTCCAGCAAAATTCTAAGATTCTGAAATGTGTATGTAATCTTCACATGAATATGATGTATTTCTTTCTTTTGGTAAAAAATAGTGAAGTTTGTGTTCCAAAAAAAAGTTAAATTTCTATAATATTTTGTTTGTATATTATTCCTCACAATTATGCATTTTTTGATTAATTCAAGCGTTAGCAAAGGCAGTATATATGTTGTTTCATGTTGACAGTTCATGGAATTTGCTTTTTATCTCTTCATATGATGGTAAGAGCATAGGGGCTGGAGCTTGAAAGTGAGATTGTTGCAGGTGAAAGTAAATGGTTCAGTTTCTAAATTGACCTGTCTCGGTGCAAAATCCATGGACAAATCTAATAATGTTTTTGATATGGGAGAAGGGGACTCTAATCTTTGAACAAAAATATATACATGCATCAATTATTGAGTCAAATTTTCGAATTATGAAGTCAAATACTTGGATTTTGAACTCTGAATATGATTTTTTGAGAGCAAATGATGCTACAAGAACAAATACAGTCACTGATGAACTATGAAGGGATGCCTAGATTAGTATCAAACAATCAATCTAGTGCATCTAATTCACTAGTCTTAAACAATTTCTGTTTTTCTCTCTTATCAAATGATAGTGACTATTCAACTTGGTAGCAAACATGAAATATAAAAATAATTCAAATAAAAATATGTGTGCATACGTATTAAAATTAATCCGTTTAATTATATTTATTTATTTATTTATTCATTCATTCATACTCTTATTTTCATGTTCTTTGTCAGTCACCGTCATCATCCATTCATTCAAGTTGTTGTCCATTGACTGTTGAGCAAATTTGTGAACCCCAACCACCATGTTTAGAGAATCCTTAAACATCAGGAAGATCTCAAAATTAGGGCTTCTCATTGCTTGTTTGGATTCAGGCAAAGAAACCAAATATCTAAAAGTTGCTTGTGCCCTAACCTGTTTTAGAGGGATCATCTGCTGTGATCTCATCATCCCTTTTTAAAATTTACAAACCTCATGGACCCACACTAGTTCTATAATTTGGGCCCCACTGTAACAACTCACAAATGTGAAATGGGCCCAACATTCAGCTAGGAAAAAAGCCCATTAAATCCAATAAATTATTGTTGGTAATTATAATTATTAATTAATTAATCCATGCTATTTCTTAAGGTCCTTAACCAACCCAATTTATGTTCCAAATGGGTGTTGGTCACACCCTCTTAAGTTATTATTATTTTCAAGGCATATGCCATAGATATGTTTGGATCCTGAATGAACTGTAAATTCTATTGTATTAGCTTCAACAATCGAGTAATTTATAAATCATTAGAATATTAGATTTTTAATTTTAATAATTAAGATTCGATTTTTGTTAATTTCAAAATTAAAAAAAAATTTATTCTATAACTAATTTCACACATATATATTATATTCATTGTGGTAACTTAACTATTTAAATCATTGGAAGTGTTGAGTTCCTCCAATTTGTATTTTGGTTGAATTTAAACAGGAAAACAAATCTTCTATACATATGATTTTTTTATTTTAAGATGACAATTACATTTCATTAAATAGGTGTTTACTTCAGGTAGACATGATCTTATTTAATTGCCTAATTTCTGAATCTATTTGTTTATCAAGTAAGCAACTAGCTGACAAGTTTATTTGTGGGTAGTGAAAAAAAAAAAATCCAGCTATAGGTTTCTTTTTTGTAAAGATACTTTGGGTTCTATATTATCAAGTTGTATCTGCTTTAACATTTTTTGAGGTATGAAAGTTAAATGGCATTATAAATTTATATTTATAAACCAATTTATATATCGAGATTGACTTATATATCCTTATAATTTTTTTTTTCATACTAAGAATTTGGATGGAAGAATTCGAATTTCTTTTCTTTTTTTTTTAATAAAAGAGGTAGCATAGGGAAAGATAATGCATGTATTGTAGTTGTATAAATCAATTAAATTAAACTCTAAATTTAAATTTGATTATTTGAATAAAGGAAAAATATTTTAATCATTGAACTAAATACTTAATTATCTATGCCTTTATAATTGAAGCTATGTAAATATATCTTTCCTTAATGAAAACAAAAAAAAAAGGGAAAGGAAAATTAGCTCCTACCTATGATTAATTCACACATTGTATTATTTTACAAGCATGGTGAAATATAAATCAATAAAAAAATATTGATGGAGTTAAAAAGTTGGGGAAGAGGTTGTTTGATTCAATTCCATTAATTACTTGGTGTTCACCATAAGCAATTGGTTACAAGGAAAGTAAGAGGAATTTATTAAAAAAAAAAACATCATAGTTTGTCTTCTATGATCAAAAAAAGAAAGCTGATTTTTAAATCAAAAGCTACTTTACTTACAACCTAAGACCATATCTACAACTACAACCTCTTGTTATTCTCAAACTTTATTAAGTTTAAAAATAACAAGGGACCCTAAATGTATATCCCTTAATTCTATTGGCCTACAACTTGAGATCCTTTCCTTGTTTCATGTTCACTCATTCCAACATACATGGCCATGACATTTATATAATTGTTATTGATTGGATAAACTTTCAGGGTTTTGATTCCACTTTTGTTTGGTTATAATTCTTTCATGTGTAGACACCTAATTTAATTCAAGTCCGAATCAATTACGTCTAATCTAAATGGGCAATATGAGCTCATTTTTTATTTTATTTTATTATTATTATTATTTTATTATTATTTTTCATTTATTATTTATTTTTATTATTTACTATTATATTATTTATATTATTATTATTTTTTATTGATTTATCTTTTTTTGATTAATTAGGAGATAATGATTAGATTAATTAAAAATAAAAAAAATGGTGGGAGTGGATTTGGACGTGAATTTGGGGGCTGACAAAGTTGAGATTAGATTCAAAGTTTGAATCTCAATCCCATATGGAATTGAGATTGATCAGAAATTCTTCTGATCAATCCCTATAAATAGATATTGAAATATGCAGGAAGGAACACAAAAAAAAAAAAAAAGAAGAAAACAAAAGAAAAAAAAAAGAAAAAACTCAAAGGTGTTAGTAACAATCGTGGAAGTAGTTTAGGAATTTTTTCGAATTTTTTAGGTTTTTTTTTTTTGAAAAATTTCCAAAAATTTTTTAGAATCTGATCAATTTTTCTATAAAACTTGAATTTTTCGACGTGTTTTTCCAGATTCCGACATGATTTTCTAGAATAGTGTGAAAAGTCAACTGAATTCTGGATTTCTGTTCTAGAAAAGGGGAGAGAAAAGAGAAAAGAAGGAAGAAAAATCTGAAGGAAGATCGAGTTTAAGCATTTTATATCCCTGTAAAATGATGTTGTTTTAGCGTTAATAAGACCCTAGGATTCGCGTGTTTCCATTTGGGAGACCCAACCCGTCGTGCTAACCCATTTCACAGATCCTGCTACTGAGCCGAGCCGATTATCCCTGAGCCGCGTTTTGAGTTGTGGTTTCTGTCTCAAGCCGAGCCGTTCATAGCTGCAAGCCGAACTATTTTCGTTTTTTTGGTATTTTTAATTTTTAATTTTTTTATTATGTGCTTAGTTATTTTTGGAGTATTTTTGCATGATTTAATTTAATAAATAATAAAATAATAAAAATAAAAATTTTGAAAATAAATATTAATTATCCAATGATGAAATTTATAAAAATTTTAAATAGTAAATTTTTATAAATTTCTAGGGAAAAAAATTTGTCTAAATTTATCCTAAATGGTGGAATAATTTAGATAAAGTTTCAATACCAATAATTAATATTTATCTTCAAATAAAAGAATAAAAAATGAAAAAAATATAAAAATTTGAAATTAAATACAAATTATCCAAAGATAAGATTTTTAGAAATTTCAAATGGTAAATTTTTTAAGAATTCTCTAGGTTAGAAATTTCTTCTAAATTTATCCTAAATGGTAGAATAATTTAGATGAAAGTTTCAATAAAAGTAATTGTATTCTTTTTCCACATAAAAATTTGGCTTAAAAATATTTGATAATTATCCAATAATGAGATTCATAGAAATTGTAAATGGTAAATTTCTAATAAATCTCTAGGTAAAAAATTTTCTCTAGATTTGACCCAAATGGTGGAATAATTTAGGTGAAATTCCAATAGAAATAATTCTTATATTATTTTCTTTCCAAGAAAAAAAAATTTTAGAAATTCAAAAGAGAAAATATTTCTAATTTGGCCCAAATTGTGAAATAATTAGATTTATTTTTAACAAAAAAATGGTAATAATAATAAAGAATAAATAAATCTTTTTCGACGATGGAGCCTCTTCAAGATATCAAATGGGATGTTTGAATACTCTTGAGGTGAGAAAATATTTTTTAAGAGTTTTATCAGATTGATGGAGAATCTTATAAATTATTTCCAATATTTAACATTAAATATTAAAACTATTAGACTCAAGACCATATGATAAATTTAAAATAATATGATATCATTCTTTGGATGGGCATGTGAGGGTGCTATAACCTTCCTTACATGTAACTAAACTCTCGAACCCTTTTCTGGTTAGTAGACCTGAGCCTATTCTTTTAGGGACCCTTAGTCAAGCTTAGAAAATCCTTAAGAGGATAGATTCCTTAGATGGTCAATCACACCTAGATAAAAAAAATTGGTGGTAACTCCATTCCTTTGTTAAGTCTAGTTATAAATTTACAGATCTATATGTTATGACAGTTTAGTGACTCCACTGGAGACGCTAAAGAGTCAAGCCATAATTTTTGAATTTATCTTACTTTTTGATCTAATGGTTTTAATGATTAGTGTTTACTAACATCTTTCTTTTTTTTACTTTTATTTGATTTTTGGGGCATGAAACTTGTGTATTCCTTCACACACTATCACATGTATTTACATTACGTGAGCTCCACACTCGAGCTTTATCCTTCCTAAGAGGGAGTAAAGTACTTACGCTCTTGTGAGATGATAATCTTTGCAATGGCTAGCGAAATATTCTCACTTAAATTGAATCCTTTTTTTAATAGCCTGTAATGGGTGAGGATTTGATTGCCTTACTAGTTTGTGATGAACGATGATGTAAAGAACAATTTGAAAACCTTTAATAGTCAAAATCACCTAACCCTGCATATAGTTCATCATTAAGTGGCCAACCTTAAGATAGAACCATTCCTTCCCATCCATAGATACAACTCAAAATTAAGATACAAGAAGGAACAATTTGTATATTGTTTATCTAACCTTTCTGTTTGTTTGATTATGTGCATCTACAACATTTCCATATCATCATATCATTATATACATCATTCTTATGTTCACATTATCATTTGCATCATTCTCATATAGGAAGTATTTATCACTTATCAGTTATTGATAAATCAGATCTCTCACTTACATCCATGAAAAGTCAAATGTAATCAAAGTTCGCATCGGTTCATTATGAGTCTGCTCATCAATTGAAAATCAAGTCAAAAGAGGGTCAAAGAAAATAAAAAAATTGTTTGCCTGAAGGGTTTATCTCATCATTACCCGAAAGAGTTCATCTTGAGCTACAACAAAATGATCTAGCTGATGTAAGCAATATCTGGGGATGTATAAGTAGAATAAGGCAGAAGGCATTTGAGAATAAATATGGAGACATAGCATCACTACTCCAAGTGAAAGTGGACAATAATTTGATTAGAGCCATCATTCAGTTTTGAGATCCTTCTTATAGATGTTTCATTTTTAATGAAGCAGACATGATGCCCATAATTGAAAAGTATATGGTCCTACTTCGCTTTGATTTGCCAAACTCAGACAAGATTTATTGGTCCAACAAGGTGGGCTATCGTAAAAAGCTAGTGCAAATGCTTAGACTTAGCCTACCTCAAGTTGATGCATGTGTCAAGATAAACTGTGAAAGTAAGGCTATTCCATGAAATTTTCTGTGAGATTTCATCCAAGGACAAATAAATGATGATCAAGGGTTAGTGGCTATGGCTATAGCTTTATATGGACTGGTGATCTTCCCAAAAGTCATCAGGTATATTGATGTCATAATAATAGATTTTATGGATTAGTTAGCATACCAGGTCAATGTAACACCAACCATTTTAGCAAAAACCATTTGTTCTTTAAACTTTTATCGCAGAAATGGTAAAGGTCGATTCAATGGGTGCTTACCGTTGCTTTATGTCTGGATGAAAAGTCATATGGAATGCAAAGAAAGTTAGTTCTATAAACCATACCTTCATTCTAGCATCCCGATCAAGGAGTTTTGTTATAACACATGGCCTTAAACAAAGTCAAAAGAAGAATGGGTTTCTTACTTTCGAGCCCTTGATAGTCAATGAATAGTTTGGAGAGCACCTTGGATGCGTCATGATACAATACTATACAGTTGTGGAAAATCAATCGTGGGTGTTCTTATTAGGCTTATAGGGTGCTGTTACTTATGCCCCAACTTTAGTAAGAAGACAATCCGGATGTGAACATTTCATTCCAGAAACTTATGGACTTAATCATTGGGAATTCTCTTTCACTGATAAAGGGGCATATAGAATGGTCGAAAGGGTTAAAAAGGCATGAAAGTAAACCATCAGGGTTAACCAATGAAGGCTTACTTATGACGTCACCCTATAATATAGTGTGTGGCATGCGATGAGGGGAAAGGACATTGTGATTTCTAGTGAACAGTTACGACATCCCCCAAAACCCACTCTTCAAGATCCTTTGCTTAAAATGAAAACAGCTAAGAGAAAACTCCAATACGAGAAAGACGAGTTGGAACAAGAAAACAAGCGATTAAAGTTACAAATGAAAGAGTATTCATGACTTCAAGAGCTGAAATCCAGAGCCTCATTGAGCAGAAAAATCAGTGGAGAGCCTTATTTAATAATCAAGATATGACACATTCGTCAGTCACACCCAAGCTTGCTCGACTCTTAAAAAAAATAAATTGCTAAAAGCGAGGGTGAAAGAAAAACAAAAAGCTATTCTAGGGCACACAAACACAATCAGATGCTACAAGAGGTAGTGGATCGACGCACGATACAAATAGAAGCCTTGTTTGATGAATGCAGAAGGCAAGCTAGGCAGAATGAGCTATGGAAAGACATGTGCACCAAAAAACAAATGCATTTAAGGCATTTCTTGGATTAGTTATACATTGCCATGGACAAAGATCAGAAACGAAAGAAAAAGTGGAAGACTTGAAGGCTATGGTGCAACCAGTGGGAGCTCATGGGCGACAATTGCTAGATTTTCTAGACGAGACACAAAATCATTACCAGTAAACTAGAAAGTTTATAAAGAGGCATTAGAAATAAGGAATGATGTTTAGGATTTTAGAATATTGCTTTGACTTTATTAAGATGTAATTTTAAAATTTTATTTAAAAAAATTTCAAATGGAGATTTCTTTTATCAATATTGACGATGTAGCAAATATTAGTATATTTCATGCGCATATTTGCATATCATACATAGAATTCATAATTTCTAATAATCATATAATTATGATACTCAAGGCTCAAGGATGCTCCATCTTAAAAAAAATTTTAATAAAAATATTAAAATATTAATAAAATTTTTAATAATTTTATATGAAACGAAATACCAAATAGACTATAAATTATGTCTAAATTTACCTAACTTCTCAATATATCAATTGAATTTGATTGAATATTTTATATTTAAAGTTATCAAAAATTAAATTTTAATTAATAAAATTAAAAATTTAATATCATATAACAGATTATCAGATTACGGAACAGTCAATTACTTTCAGTTTATAGCAAAATTTTTTATTTATGGGATGAAGATGTACTTAAAAACCCATGTCAGAAAAATAGAGGGCGACAAGTGTTTGAAGGAGGCCACTTGTAGTTTGTAGGAAAGAGTTCGTCTTTCGTCTTTCTCATTCCTGACAGGAGCACATGCCATGAAGACAACTATCGACCCACTCGCATACTCATCTCACATGGGTCATGGATATCTACATGACATCTGATCCACAACACTCTCGACGACTCATCCCCTTGGCTATCACGTTCACACACAAAATAAAAGAAAAAAACAATTGTTTCTATTCGCCAACTCTTTGTACATGCCATAATAACAAGCCTCCCTATCTCTTCTGGCTTTGTCTCAGGGGAAGGTTTGGTTCTTATAGTTATAGGCAAACTGGAGTTATAGAATTTTTTGTACATACTGTGAAATGGGAAACTGGGTCCCTTCCTTTTTTTTTTTTTTTTGGTTTTATTATGAGATTAACACAAGGCATTGTCAGGTTTGCCTGTGAAGTTCAATAAGGTATCTTTGATGCGTGCATATTCATTGGAGATAATTTTGCGATTTCTTGGGAATTTTTTTTTTTTTTTTTTGTTCTCTTGTTGTTTTGCTTGGTTGTTGAGAAAAAGTTTGAGCTTTGGAGGATTTCATTACAAACCCAATAAAAGGATCTTAATGTTAAATGGAAAAAAATTTGTGGGGTTTGAGTTTTGACTGCAAAAAGACAAATTTGATATTGTGGGAGGCCAAAGTTTATGGTTTTGAGCTGTAATTAGTTGTGTAAAAACTGGATTTCGAAAGTGAGTTACGAGGACTTTTAGACATAAAGAAGGAAATAACCTGAAAATTTGATGAATTCTGTTTTCATATGAGCAGTGTTTGTAGTTAATGCGGGAAATGCTTTTGTCTTTTAAAGGGTTTTGAATAAAACCATAATCTGTGCTTGAAATTTGGATATTTTTGAAGAGGAATGGTAGAAGAGGTAAAAAGAGAAAGAAGAGACAAGAGAGTTCATATATTTTTATTGGTTCTTGAATTATATTTTGGTTTCTGAGGTATCCAATAGAATTGATTATCAATTGGCTCCTTGAAGAGTTGCTTGAGCATCTGATAGTTCATACAGCGCAGAAACTGGCTGTAATATATAGCAATGTTGAATAGCCTCACAATCTGATGTTATGGTGAAAGAGGAAATAATGATTGCAATTCTTTTGTTTGGAGAAGGATGATGAAGCTATAGGAATTAGGAAGTAGGAGGGAAAGATGGCTGCAAAGCTTCTACATTCTTTGGCAGATGACAATCCTGATTTGCAGAAGCAAATAGGATGCATGACTGGGATCTTTCAAATCTTTGATCGTCATCATATGCTCACCACTAAGCGCCTGAGCCATTGGAAGCTTCCTGCCGGTAGTTCTCCTGGGATGGGCTTAATCTATAATTTTTCCTCTTAAAACTATTTCCTTTTGCTGAAGTCAACTCATCACAGATTGATGCAATATTCATATAAGGCCAAAGTTGTTTCAATGCCTCTTTAATTTCAATTTTATAATTCATTGCCAGCATTAATAACTATGGCATCTGTATTTTTATGTTTCAGTCTAATTTTAATGTTAGGTTCTGTGTTTTAATGGAAAATTATGAATATATTTATGATAAATGTAAAATCAAGTATTACTATTATAGAGCTGCCTATGATCCAACTAATTGTCTTGATTTCAACTGCTTTCCATCTGTACATTGATGCTGCTGTTTGAAATTCCTATTGAAGAGTTATATGTAGATTTAGATAACTTAGAGTACATTCTTAGGTGGCCAATGCATAAATACATTTTTTCTGATAATAAATGTTGATTGCCCCTTTTTTTTATAGTTGTTGATTTCTTAGTTTTATCGAAGCCAAGTTTCTATTTGAAGCACAATCTCATTGATTCCTTTTCCTTATTTGGTATTTTGTGAACTCAAACATTAAAAAACAATGGGAATGCAGTCTAAAGGACAATCTAATCCTTTCACGGCTTTACAGGTAATTCCCACCTGAACAATGGAATCCTGGAAGCGGATTCAAATACTGGATATCATGGACACACATCAACGGTAAGTTCCCAGCAATTTGCTCTGTGTATTCTCTTCCCCTCCCTTCCCCCATCCTGCCTCCTTGTTTGTGTCATACAAGACTGGATGGTTTGTGGTTCGTTTCTTCACGACATAGTTGCCTTTCTAACATATAAATCATTGTCAATATATGTCATGATTCTATCCTGATGCCTGGCCTATGACTATGTTCATGAGAAACTCACCAAAATCTGATTGTGCATAGTTTCTGGTCGTAGATGGATGCTGTGTACTCAAATTAACTCTATAAGTACAAAAAATTAACAAGAAGATGCCATGTTTTTGTGGTAAATGTATCCTCACGGTCTTTTGATTTCCAGGAAATGAATATAAACAGAAGCGTGAATGAGAAACAAAGAATTTCTACAGAATCTTCAAGAGCCTCTTTTTCATCGTCCTGCTCATCTTCCTTCTCATCACTGGATTGTAACGAGACAGCCCAGCAAGAGGCCTCTTCCTTTGACAGAATCCTGTTTCCTGAAACTCCCTTTAGGGACCCAGTGATGAACCAACCAAGTACTTCTCCACATTTAGGGTCACAATGCCTTGACCTCCGAGATGTGGTCAAGGACTCAATGTATGGAGAAGCCAGAGGACTATCGGTTAAAACAACAACCAGAGAGGAAGTATCGTGTTGTACTGTGAAGCATAGAGATTCACCAAGGTCATTTCAGCTTCCTAAATCAGTGGGCAGGTCTTATGGTGTTGGGATCAATGAAAAGCAAAATGTGCCTGCTGATATGAAGGAGTCTCTTAGAGGTCTTGCAAAACTTCAGGAAGCACCTTGGTATTACAACAATGTAGCTAGAGAATTTCAAAGATCATCACATGAAGCAAATGGCTCATGGAATTCAATTTCAAGGGACACTCCTCGATTTTCTTATGATGGAAGAGAGATTAATCGTTTATCTTTTGAATCGAGAGACACCTTCAAATCAACACCGCAGCTTAAAGAGCTACCAAGACTTTCTTTGGATAGTAGAGAAAGGTCAATGAGGGTTTCAAATTACCTTAGTAAAAGTCTTCATAATAATGGCAACTTGAACAACAGAGTTACTAATCCACCACAATCACCGGGAGCCCAGAAGCACTCTCCTAATGTTGTAGCCAAGCTGATGGGCTTGGAACCATTGCCAGATTCTTCCTCAGCTTCTGATGGGCAGTTGGGTGTGATTAAAACCTGCTCCATTCAAGATAACAATCCTTTCTCACAGTCACTAAGAGCAAATGATCTGAACAGGCCAACGAGAACTTCTAACTCTAGAAGAAGTTCACTGAGAGATCCAACATTACCGCGGTGGAAAAATCCTGATTTGATCATGAAACCTATTTCCAGTTCAAGGTTCCCAATTGAGCCAGCACCCTGGAGACACGTGGATGGGAGTCGAGGTTTTCAGAAACAACCTCTCAAGCATGTAAAAGTTCCAGCCAAGACTCCAAAGTCTTTCCCTTCAGTTTATAGTGAGATTGAGAAAAGATTGAAAGATCTAGAGTTTAAACAATCCGGAAAGGATCTCAGACCTCTTAAACAGATACTAGAAGCCATGCAAGCAAAGGGACTCCTTGAGACCAGGAAAGAAGAACAAGCTGCAAACTTGGTGACTCCAAGAGACTATGAACCAAAATGTACAAGCCCCAGTCAGAATCTGAGAGGCCACAGAATCTCACAGAACAGTTGCATCACCATTTCCACCATCAGACATTCCAATTCTGTTAGAACTTATGAATCTCCGATTGTGATCATGAAACCTGCAAAACCTGTAGAGAAAGTTGGTATGCATGCTTCAACAGTAATTCCCATAAATAACTTCTCCAGTCTCCCCAAGATTCATATTGGGGGATCTGTAGATAATAAAAAGGGTTTGATAAATAGTCGAGCAGCTAGAGATCATGCTGCCAGAAACAGTCGCAGTGATTCTGCTGCCAGCTCTACTGATAAGAAAGCTAGTGGCAGGAATAGTAGCTCCATACTATCTTCAACAAAACCTCCAAAAGAAAGCACCACAACTTCATTAAAGAATTCAGGATCAGTGAGCCCAAGACTGCAGCAGAAAAAGCTTGAATTGGACAGGCGATCTCATCCACCAACTCCACCATCTAGTCCAAGCAAACCCAGAAGTCAATCCAACTGGAAGTCGTCAGAGTCAGGTTCCCCTGGTGGTAAACATAGAGCAAAATCTCACAACATGCAGCAATGTGATGAACAACTGAGTCATATAAGTAATGAATCACAGACTTCAAGACACCAAGGGGATGACATTTCTCCGCAATCAGACAGCAATATGAACTTGGAGTCCAAGTTAGATGTGGAAGTTACCAGTCGGGATCGATCTATTGAAATCAGTGGTAATCAAAGCCCATCCATGAAAGCTGCCAAGTACTCAATTTCTGGCAGAATGCAGAAAGTAGGCGATATTAGTCTTCAGTCTTCACCATTCATCCAATTGTTCTTTTTGGTTACCTTAACTTTCGTGTTTTGTTTTGTCAGAAATCAACACCAAGTCAGAAATCAACATCAAGACTGGTTGAGGATAGATCAGTGGCAGAACTAGCTATGGTTGCTCCAGAATATCCAAGTCCTGTTTCTGTTCTTGAAACTTCAATTTATAGAGATGATGCACCATCTCCAGTAAAGCAGATATTGAACACCCCTGAAGGTAGTAATTCTGTTTTCTAAGATATTTGATTTGGACATAAACTGTTGTGAATTAAGTGAAGATGCAAATGCTGTTGGCTTGACCCTTTCAACGCATTTTTCATTTTCTTTGTCAGACATTTCGTTGCAAGCCTAGATAAAGTATTAAAGTAACACATACCAATTATCATCTTACTCAGCATTGTTAACAGTATTCTTTTGGAGTGGGGGAGTTTTGGTTGGGTTTGGTTGGGGGGTGCGAAAGAATAATTCATGTTATAGTGCTAAGGATTGTACACATTAATTCAAGTTTACATCTTGCTCTCCCTAGATCCTGCCTCTTCTTAGAGTGAATTGTAGCCGTGTTTGCTTATCCTAGTAACTTTTCTAGAGAATTTACACTTAGCTACCATAGTTTGTAGTTTTCTGACTGTACTGCATTTCCATTGTGCGAATGCACAGGTTAATTGAACATCTAGATAATAACTTAGAAGTACAATAACAAAAGGCAAAAGGCACAATGAAGAAAGAAGGAAATTGTTTCATAATCATTTTTAATTTTGGTTGCCACCATTTATATTGTTGCAATGGAGTAATTCCAAGTACTTTTTGAGTCATTCTCCTTCCTGACCACATGATCCCGAAGGAGAAAATAGTTGTGATGGAATAGACAAATGAGCAAATGCAAAGAGAAAGAAGTCATTCACTGGCAGCATTAATATTTTTCCGATATTATCTGATGCAAGGTCTTGCGCCTCTAGGTTATATTAGAGAGATTGCAGTTGTATTGGGATGCTTAAAGTGCATGCCATCAATTTAATTCAATTAACTATGGTCTTAGACTGGCTATAAACCAAAACTTAAGAATAGCTCTACTAGCAAATGGAGATTAGATTAAGAATGAACAAGATACTTCTTGTCTCCTTGTCATTTTCTTGTACTTAAAGATGCAAAGGGATTTACGAACTAAATCTCACTATTTTCATTGTGTCAGGTAGTGGTGCAGAAGGTTTCAATGACGACTACAATGGAGAGCAATGGAACCCTGCAAATAAGTGCTTGTCTAACAACGTGGGGTCTGATCTTACCTCAGAGATTAATGGCAAGAAACTACAGAACATTGAACATTTGGTCCAAAAACTTAGAAGACTGAACTCCAATCATGATGAAGACAGTACAGATTACATTGCATCACTTTGTGAGAATACAAATCCTGATCGCAGATACGTTTGTGAGATATTATTAGCCTCTGGCCTTCTACTGAGAGATCTCGGTTCTGGCTTGACAACATTTCTGCTCCATCCATCAGGCCATCCCATACACCCAGAGATGTTCTTTGTTTTGGAGCAGACCAAAGCCAGTTCTTTGTCATTGAACGAAAGCAGCACTGGAAAGGTTTCCCATTCAAAGCCAGACCATGAGAAATTCCACCGAAAGCTTATATTCGATTATGTCAATGAGATTCTTATTGGAAAGTTAGCTCTAGTTGGGGCCTCTCCAGAGCCTTGGAAAAACTCTGGCAAGCTGGCAAAGAAGACCCTCAGTGCACAAAAGCTTCTAAAAGAATTGTGTTTGGAGATAGAGCAGCTTCAAGCCAAGAAATCAAAGTGCAACCTGGAGGAAGAGGAGTATGGTCTGAAAAGCATCTTGCGGGAAGATGTAATGTGTCGATCAGAGAGTTGGACTGATTTCAACTGTGAGATTCCTGGGATGGTGCTAGATGTTGAAAGGATGGTCTTTAAGGATTTAGTTGATGAGATTGTGATTGGTGAAGGGGGAGCTCTACGAGCCAAGCAAAGTAGGCGGCGGTGGCAGCCGTTTTCCTAGTAAAATGTTTGCAAATGCCTTCTAATTCTTCTTCATTCACCTTTGTTCTTCCTTCGTTCTGATTTAAATGTTTTGCTTTTGCCTGAAAACGTAATAATAGTGATAAGAACTGCAATCCTGTGTTACATGTCATAAAAATTTTACTTTCTCAGATTATGACACCATACATATTTGTAAGTAAAAGTACATGAGAACCTTTGTATATGAGCTCATGTTTTACGCCAAACTTATTCCTGGTTGCTTTACTTTGTAAGAGAAAAAATACAGCTCTGAAGAAAAGAGAAAAATGAGTTGCCATTGCTGAAATGACAGAAAGTGAGTTGAGTTCCCTACTATTTGAGTATTTTTCCTTTTTGAAGATGGGAAAATTTGCATGCAAATGCAGGTCACTGTCCTACTTGAAGAAAATGGCATATGAATGATTTGTTACACAAACATATTTCATCAAGCAGATGGCATAAATTTTGCACTTCTCCTCCTTATAAATTCATTTCCACCCACAAAATTACAAAGTGTAAATTCTATTTTTATTTATTTTAAGTATAATTCAACGTAAGTTTATTATTTTTCATAATTTGAAAAATGGATAGCGTATCTTAAACTTTTCAATTTCACAAGATAATATCCATTAGTTATTTCGTTAAAAATCTTGTTTAAAAATCATTTTACTCTTGAAAAATCAATATTATTGTACATTCATATGAAGTAATATTTTATAATAATAAATCATTTTTATTTTTTTCGAAATACATCAAATCTATTAATAATAGAAATTATTTTAAAATGTAATATATAAAAATAAATTTATATTATAAATATATTAATATGTAAATATATATAACAAAATGAATATATTAAGTATACAATATTATTTTGGCATGTAACAATTAAAAAAGGGAACATGAAGGCTATAATATAAAAAATGTTTGGTTAAAAATAAATTGCAATTGGATATTTGTCAATTTAATTTTAATTATTATAATATTTTTATATATGTTAAACTTAAATTTATATATTTATAAAAATATAGTAATAACAAAAATATTCATTTCAAATTGAAAATCATTTATAACAAGAAAACCCGATTAAAGAGTTATAATATTTAAATATAAATAATTTTTGTTATTATATACAAGAAATTTAGATTTGAGGGTCAATTTTGTAATTACATAAATTATGGGACAGATTATTATTTTTTCAAATTAAAAGACGTGTTGAATTCAGAGTGTACCAAGACAAGAACATAAAACCCGTTAATAGATGAATGTTGAAGTGCACAATACAATCACTTGATATGGAAAAAATGCAATGATTAACATAAAAATGCCTCCGTAGCATAGTGGTAGTGCGTTCGCTTCGTAAGCGAAAGGTCGCGAGTTCGATCCTCGCCGGGGGCTTTCTGTCTTCAGCTGACAAATTTTCAGGCATTGGGCTTTGGGGGAGGAAAACGTAGGCATTTGTAGAACCAGCGTCGACTAACTTTCTGGGCCACAGCCCAAAATCTGGCAATTCATAGAACTTCAAAATCAGGAAATATTTATTACAAGTTGCTCGCATACAAAAAGGGTAAACAAATTAACTCTTCTTATTATGTTTTTATTGATAATTAGGAAGTTGCCCGGCTTCGTTCGGTGCGGTGGATTAATTTTTAATATACAAATTTGATAATAAAAAATTAATATAAGATTAAATAGAAAATGTTTGTTGTCTATTTAAAACTTATAAAAGTTTTGTATAAAAGTTTTAGGTACAACTGAGTAATATATTCATAGTCATAATAAATAACAATTTTAAAAGTATTGTGTGCTATCATAGTAAATAAACAATAATCATCGATTTTCAATTGATTGTCGTTGAGAAACTTTTTTCATCTTTCTAAGAATGATTTGCTTCTGGTATTGTATTAAACGTTCTAGGATTTATCTGTTTCAAGATTTAACAAAGTGAGAGAGAAATTTGTAGCTGGAAGATGTTTATGAAAATTGTTGGAAATATGCTGTAAAAATAATGTTATGAGAAATTGTTAGTGGACATTTTCAATGCACGTATTGTTATATAATGTTGTAATAATATATATGTAATTTCTTACCAGGATGGGATGACTATTGATGTTTGCATTAATCATTAAGCAATTAAAAGTAGAACAGTCATAATAGCCATCGTCTTCATCTTCTGCATTGTTGAAGTCATTATTGTAACTTAAAATATAGAATATAGTAATTGTAGTTTAAATATATTTAAATGGAATATAATGTAAGTTAAAATAAGATTTTACCTTCTTTTTTTTTATAGGGCATTTGTTGTTATATTGTTGGGTGATTCAGGACGTATGAATACTTGAAAATTGTTTGCATTATTGTAGGTAAAAGAGAAAATATTCTGATTTGTAAATTGATGTGCAGTAACAAATTTATGCCAATCATTTTGGAGGAATAATTTGTTGTTGATTTTTGTTAATTCCATCTTGAATGTATTTAGAAGAGAACTCTTTATGTTGACAGTTTTTAGGGTTTCAACTATGGACATGTGTTGCTGAGTGAAGTTTTATGGTAATTCCTGTAATTATATATGTTTTGCATACAGCAATAAGAAATTATAATAGATATGAAAAGTTTCTTTAAATATAATTAAAATAGATAAAGCAATATAAAAAAGCTAATAATGTTGTGAGTAATGTAAAAATAAATATTGAGAATTGGTTATATAGAAACAATAGTATGATAACAATGTTATTCCATAGAGAAAGGTTAGTCATAAAAATGAAAAATAAGTAAAATAATGATAAGATATATTTTATGGTATGATCAGTCAATTGTTGAAAATTTTTGGCAGAAACAAAATGCAAAATAATTTCAAATGTGTTTTTGAGTAAAATGCCCTTAATAAATGTATGTTGATACTAACTAAACCTAAATGTGTATATGAATATGAGTTTCACGTTTTAGTATGATGTTCTATTGTGGACATCAGGTTTACCTTAAAAAAGTTTCTAAGGATTTTTGTTGTTTCATCATTTTAAAGAATTAAAGATGTTTTGCTATATCTTAAAATTTTCATATAAATTTTTTATTAAAATATATTTGAATTCTAGTTTGAGTATAATTTCATATAAATTTTTTATTAAAATATATAGATGATGAACTTCTATCTTTTATTTTAAAATGTGTTAATTTGTTTTTTTATTTGATAGTTTTTCAGTTTAAATATTGGTGAGTTAGATTTTTTTTTTCACGTTTGGATGAAATAGAAAAGTTGAGCTTTATATAAACGATGGATTGGTCTTTCATATAATGGGTATTATTTTCTTGATTTTATGGATTATTTTGAAATAAAGTATGCCTGGGCTTTAATAGGTATTTGGAAAAAAATTGATTATGTAATTTTGTTAAAATGAGTTGTTATTTGAATATAATTTATAGATAGATTTTAATTATATGTATGAGTATTAGAGAATTATAAGTTTGTGGAAGTGATTTGTTTGGTTAAATTTGTTGTTGTTGTTTTTCTTTTTTTTTTTTTAAAGAGAATTAAAGGATCTAACAGCATATTGAGACATTCAAAATATGAAAAAAAGGTAAAAAACTTATGTTATTGGTGATATTGCTTTAAGTTAATTTTATTCATCATTTAATAAACCAAAAGCTGTATCTTAAACAATCCAATGTAATTGGTTAATAAAAATTAATAAGTTTATTTTAAGTTTAAATAGAATTATGATAAAAAGAGATAATTATTATATGTAAATAAATCAACCTGAGTTTAACTTATGATGAATTAATTAAATAGGGTCAAACATGTCATTAAAAAAATGGGTCATAATGATGCTAATTTATTAAGATAAAAGAATAAGAGAAGAAAGATAACAAATTTGGTAAAAAATACTTACCACCTTTGATATTGCAGAAGTGTTATCATTGTTTGACATGTTTAAAACTGTATACAAAAGGCTAAAAAAAAGTAGGAACAAAAGAAAGAATGAAAGATAAAAAAGAATCAGCAAAACATTATGAGAATAGAACATTAGTATGGTGATATCAACAAATGGTACACGGATAATGATGTTTGATGTCCATCATAACATTGTTGAGTAAGTATGTCTTGGTTGATGCATTTAATAAGGTGATTATTCTCTTCAGATGCTCCATTGAATTAATGAAGCTATTTTTTTTTACTGTATTAGTAATAAACCATGAGAATGTTATAATATTTGTTATTGTCAAATAATTAATATAAGAATTACAGTAAATAGTTAGTTCATAAATTGATGAAAATTAAAAAGAAAATAATTATTCAATATAGAGTAAATTAAATGGATAATGATATAAGCAATGTTATGTGCTATACCTTAAGGGAAAAGCAAAAGCTTTCTAGGATTCTTTTTTTAAAGTAGTCTCTGTAGTTTTTTCAGTAATTTCAGGATCACCCTAATGAGTTGAATGATGTTTGGGATCAAATGCAATAAATTGAGAGTTTTCGGTTATATCAATGTTTGCAATCTTTGATGAACTATTCAATTGACAATAACAAATACTATGTCATTTTAACATATGGTATATAGATTTTAAAAGAAACTACAAAAGATCCAAATAATTCTATAAAGATAATTAAACTAATAAGGAATCAATTTTTCGTAAGTATAAAGTACAATGAAATAGCACAGAAGATGTTAATAAATTTTTTAAGTGTTCCAAACCTACTTGTATCTTATATGACGATAGTTTTTAATATTTTCATTGAGAATTCATTTGTCAAAATTGTTTTCGCCTTTGGTTCGAGCACAATAGGCATTGACAGCAATTTTTTTTTTTTTTTACTTCTTGAAATATTAAATGTTGATCGATAAAATTCACTAGGACTTGTTGGTGGTGTTGCCTTTAAAGTATTGGTGGTCATGGAAGGGTTCAAGCTTGTAGAAAACATTTGACATCCTTGGCTCAATAGTTCATGAACTTCATGCATACTATGTTCTATTGATATTGTTTCAATATGAGCTGTTGTTGCAATCATAGATGATTCTAATCTATCTTTGGATAAGAGAACTTTTTTTTTGGATAACTTATCTACATGCTCCTCATCAAATTGGATTAAATCTTTTTGAGTTTGATCAATTTTGGATGATTCAGCTTTCAGTTTTTTTTTTCTTTTTAACTTTGAATCATCACAGTTAAGCAATTTGTATGTAATGAATCCAGTTTTAATAGCTCTAGAAATAAAGAGAATATTGAAAGTTCTTGTTTCATTTTAAGTGATTTGATTAGTCCTAAAAGTACCATCTTATTCATTTCACACAGTTGTAATTAATTTCTCCATTGTTTTACCAAACAT